TTACATTTGAATTAGAAAGTTATTTTTAATCTTTACAATTTACAAGAAAATTACAATAACTCTTTATTATTTCTTCAATACTTCGACTAAAAAACACAAGGATTAATTTTATTCTCTATGAATTAGTTCTCTATTATTTTTTTGCTTTGAGAAAACCCCTTGAGAATTTCCCACATATCTGTTTAAAGTGGTTTTGGATCGAGCTTTTAAAAATTGACTTCTTCTTGCAAATTCATAATCTTTTGGAGAAGTGTACCTCCAGGCAATACAATAACGTACTGTAACTTCAGACCATCTTGGGTTTTGTAGAGAATAATTATAAATTTGCTCAAGTAAAAACACAGCCCTTGGTTCTAAGTCCTTTGCATCTGGCTCAATTTTCACTACACTACACTATAATTGTCAATTTTTTCCTGCATTTTTTTTCAAGTTCATTTTCGTACAGCTTATTCAACTTTTGAAATCTTGTACTTGCTTCCTGCTTTTTTCTAAATTTTGAATTTTATCAATTTTGAATTTTATCTAGTAAGACAAATTTTTCTTCCGAATAATTTTAAATTAAAATCATAAGTATCACCTACTTTTAAATCGCAAAAATCAAATCGAAATGGACTTGAAATTAAATAATTTTTGTCAAATAAGTCTAGAGATAGGAGACACGGTGCAGGCGTTTCTAACGGCTTACGTTCTGAATTAATGGAAGTGGTAAAGATTATCTGAAAACTAGTAATTCTTTTATAATTCAACAGCAAAAATAGAACAAAATTTGGTAACAATTTTTTGTTTTTATAATAGCTCGTTACTTCAAAGAGTTTTCCACAAATCACCTAATTTGGTGGAATATTGCCGATGGTACCAAATATGCTCTTAATCCATTTGTTCTTTTGATTTCGACTTTTTGGAAATCAATGTAAAGTAACATCCTCTTTTTCTCCTTGTCCACACTTTGAAACACGGCAAGTTTGAATACTTGGCATTTTAAGAATTATAATGTAATGTCTGAAACAATGATACTATTGATACTGCGCTTCTTAAGCTGAAAAAATAGATTGATCAATATTTGATTAAATATGTCAATATTGTCACACTTAATTTCCTGCAAATTTTCAATTTTCACTAATTACAGTTTCCTTTGGAGCGTGACGCGCGCGTCACCTAACGGAATTTACCATTTTGCAAGTTGCTATTGCATAGACCACGGCCTCCTTGATTATTATAAGAGAAAAACTAATCAAGGAGAGCATAGACTTTATTACTGTCAATCAACGCAGACGACAAAAAAACAATAATTTTTAACAAGAACTATCATTATTCCAATTTGACATATAGTTGTCAAATAAATAAAACCGCCAATATGAAAGGACTTAAAAAGCAGAGAATAGTATATTAAAGTACAAGTTGCAGAAGGTATCTATTCAAGCACAAATTTGAAATTCAGAAACGAGCCGCGAAGCAGCGAGTTGAGGAACAAATCAGTTCTTGAAGAACTCTCTGCAACAAGTGCTTTATACTATTTTTTCTATTTTTCCGCTTTATATCATTTTATAAATTAAAAAACGAAAATTTTAATTTTTTCTAGAAAATTTTGGGATAGTTGGCGACACTTATGTGGAATAATTTTACGAATAGGCGGCAGAAAAAATTAAAATAATTCTTATTTTCACATTTGAAAATGAATTGTGAAGAAAGTCCGTCACTAAAATTAAATTAACGCCAACGACTTATTCCAGCACTCAAATGACGTCATTCATAGACTTATTCTAACACCGAAATAGAAAATAGACTATTCTAACACCGAAATAGAAAAAAATTATTCGAAGTCCAAAATCAAGAAAAAAATTAACTTTTCTTTTTACTAAATCAGAATAATGAAGTTTTAATTACAGATTTGCTCGTTTCAGGTGAAGCAAAAAATGTTTTCCCTTTGCAGTTTTGGCGTAAAATCAAAGCTAAAAAAATTTTCCTCTTATAACCCCAATCCGGGGACACATAAGGAAATATATATAAGACTTTTTTTATTTTACTTCGGGGGTTCAATTTACTCAGTGTTAATCACTTCTAAAACTCTAAATTTGCAATTTTTGCAAAAATTTATATTAAAAAATCATTTAATCACATCAATAATGACACAAATTGTTATGTTTGCTACCCTATGTTAATTGTGTTGTTAATTTTAATAATTTTTTGCTACCTGGGGTTTATTGTAGTTAGGATTGTTTGAATTTTTGCATGGTTGCCACCTTAAAATGATCCCTTTCAGCGACTAGTTCGATGCACATTAATTTGAAAACGAGTACATTTAGCATTCAATATTAATTGTAGCAACAATGCCTATCAATATATGAGCATTGTTGATACTATGGTAACCATAGTAATTCCACCACGGATCACTTATCCGTTGATTTATCCAGAGATTGTAAAAGTCGTTATTATAAATACTGAAAATCGAATTATTTTATTGTAAAAATAAAGAATAATGGATTCAGTTTAATACAAATGTGATTAAGTGATATTTATTCTATCTCTTGTGCAATTGTGCACTTTTTATCTACTGAAACAGTAATAATTTTTTTTTTGTTTAACGTTAAATAGCTTTTTAGTTATTGATTATAAACACCTAAAAGAGAATAATTTTAGAAAGAAAATTTAATAATCTTTTAAATGCAAAAACAATAAATAGGGTGTTCCATTTAAATTTTTTAAGTTATTGAACTTTAATAAACGTCTTCATTTTTTATCTTTGCAAATGCAACACACTAAAAAATGTTACAACCTTATAGCTTGTACCTTCTTCTTTGCGACAATAAAAAAATATTTCTAGATGGCTTAGTTTTTGTGTAATAAATTGTTAAAAAGTGCATTTTTTCGTCAAAAAAACGTCTTATTTTTAAAACTAAGCAATATTGATCAATAAAAGTTTAGCTTAAACACATTGTCATAAAAATCTACATCCATAAACGCTAAGAAACGTATGGTGTTCCATTTAGAAAAACACAAGTTTGTATTGTAACTTATTTTTGAGACACGTTGTATAGTTGAAAATAATTTTAGGCAATGGACTAGATTAGTATTTATCAATGTCCTATATAATTTTTTTTTAATTTTACTATTTATAATGGACTTTTTCAACTAGCTGGGACAGCCTATATCACAATTGATCAATAAATATTAAAATTTATAGTTTTAACTTTGTATTATTTTCATATTCAAAGAAAGTGTACCATTTTAGCACCAGAAAGGGTTCAAAGCCGAAAAGTGGCCCACATTTCCTGAATTCGTGCTTTACCTCCTCGACTGTGTCAAGCAAGGCCAGACTCTGGACATGCACTGGACTCCCATAACTGAATTTTGTACACCCTGTATGTTCAATTTCGACATAATCGCGCATACTGAAACGCTTCAAGAAGACCAACAGTACATTATCAAGAAGGCGCGTCTTGAAGGGTTGGTGGAACCCCAGTGGAGAAATGCAGGCCACGGGACTACTGCTCGGCAAATACGAAAGTACTACTCGCAATTATCGCGGTCGCAAATTTTACAATTGTATCACATATACAGGTAGGAAATGTATTGAAATTTGCATAAATAAACTGTCGTCTGTTTTAGATACGACTTTGAATTGTTCAATTACTCGTTGAATGGCTACTTAGAGTTAGGACAACCTGACGACGATCCGTCTACTCTACTCGCGGCCATCACACTCAAAGATTTCCCTCAGAGTAAAGACAAGCCGCGACTCTATTGAGCATTTGCAATACAGTGAGATTGTGATACCTAGACATAGGTTTGCGTTTTTAACTTGTTACCAATTCTTGGCATTAGCACTGTTATATTGTGATAGGTAGGATGTTACTACACCTTAAATATAGATTTGCTTTATTTTGGTACTTACGATTCGCTTTCATTCCTCACTTCCACCCCTAATACGTATTTCCCGTTTATTGTTTTCTTCCAAATATTCACAAATTTTACATAGTTGTTGGAATACGTTTTCGTGATTTCTTCGCGCAAATTTGATGCAATTTCTTCACGGTGTTGTAAAGATGTCTTTAAGTGAGCAGTCACCGATTTAATTTCGTCCAACTTTAAATGAAGGAATTCACTGATTCGATCCGAATAATCGAAATCTAAATCAATATCCATCATCTGAAAAAAGTCGATTTTGTATTAACATTATTTACAGCTGATGATTTCAAAGTTATCTGTCCACTTCATAAAACAAACTTAAAAGTCTCAATAACTGCTTGTCTTGAATATTAAAGTCGCGAACAGATGCGATCGAAAAAATTCAAAGAAACTTTAGGAGACTCTTTTTTTGCCATAATCAGCAACCAAACTACTACACGAGACTTAGATATATAAAACTAATTCCGATGCAATCAAGACGTAAAAGAGGTGACTTAATTAATACATAAAGTCATAAAATCCGTTTCGCTATTAAAAGCACTTTTTACGTTTCGAAACAATCCAAGTTTACGAGGTCATAGTCTTTTACATTAGAAAGAAACAAGTTTCTTACAAAAGTTGGAAATTTTTTTCTTCCGAGCAGAGTGTGTCGTGATTGGAACGATTTTACTGAAGAAGATATAACAACTTCGAGTGTGCTAGCTTCCAAAAACTATTAATAGTTAATAACAATTAATAATAATTCCAAAACAGACTGGTTTACATAATTACAAAAACTCGCTTATAGGAAATTAGTAACAACAACTTTTTGATGTACGAGTACACCAAATGTAATGGAGCTATAAAAAAGCCTATAAAGGTTTCCGTTCAATATTAAATGATGATAATAATAATAACTTTTCTAATTAACGTTACAACTACTTTTTTTTTAATTAGGTTATAGAAAGTAATTAAATTTTATAAAAGCACTGTACCCTTCAAAATTATTGACGCACTACTATAAAGTAATGTTGAAAATTTTTGCACCAATATACAAGTACTACTTCAAAAAATTAAAGGAATAAAAAAAAATCCTAAATTTTTTGGTGATTTTTGAAATGCTGTAACTCATCGAAAAATGGTCGTATCTGGATTAAAAAAAACTATTTTGAAGCTTTAAGTTTCTAGTTTTGAGATTTTTTTGGCAAATATTTTTTCTGTGCTACGGTAATCACGGACGTGGGGATTTGTTTTTAGTTAAGTCAAGGCCCGATAGCATGTTTGTTTACCTTTAATACGCTTTTTTCATAGTCTCTTCACATTAGTTTGTCGCTGAGATATCTGACTTTAAATGAAAAAGGATCCTCTTGTCTATGATCATCGATATCTCAACAACCAATGGCCACACAGAGAATATAAAAGTAGTGTCAAAAACTGGAATAAATGTCTTATAAGATCCTCTTATGACTAATGAAAAATATTTCTTTTTACCTTTAACATTGATTGAAAAAAAGAGAAAAAAGTAAATGTTTGCGTTGTTATAGTAAATCTACCGCGTATTTACTAATATTGATGGGGCAACTAATGTTTTTAGGTGTTTTTACAGCTCAAAGTATCCTCCACAGTCCTGCTAATTTTTAAATCGATCTATCAAACCGTTTTCTGACCGATTGATCAAAGTTTTGCAAAAGAATTAAAGGAATAATTGCACATATTGTTTATGAACATTGACTAATCTTCATCAAGATGAAAAAAACTTTTTTTTCGACTTTTTTTTCCAATTTTGCATTAGTTATTTGCTAAAAACAAAAAAAATAAACAAAAATTGTTTTTTGATTTTTTTTTTTTTGAAAATTTGTAAAAACATTTAAGAAACAATACTGCTTAATTTTTGAAAAAGAAATTCAAAAAAATGTGTTTGAAAAACTTTGAACAATCGGTCTGAGAAAACAATTTGATGGATCGATTTAAAATTTAGCAGGGCTGTGGATGATACTTTAAGCTGTAAAAACACATAAAAACATTAGTCGCCCCATCAATATTAGTGAATACGCGGTAGATTTACTAAAACAACGCAAAAACTTGTTTTTTTCTCTTTCCTTTAAATCAATGTTAAAAGTGAAAAAAATATATTTTCCAAAAAATCATAAGAGAATCTTATAAGAGATTTATTCCAGTTTTTAACACTACCCTTATATTCCTTGTGTGGTCATTGGTTGATGAGACATTGATGATCAAAGACAAGAGGATCCTTTTTCATTTAAAGTCAGATATCTCAGCGACAAATTGACGTAATGAAAATAAGAAGAAAGCATATTAAAGGTAAACAAACATGCTTAAAAATTTAGAATTTTTTTCTCGTGCCATCACTTAGAATTGCGTGGTAACCGTAGCACAGAAAAAATATTTGCTAAAAGATCTCAAAACTAGAAGCCTAAAGCTTCAAAATGGTTTTTTAAAAATCTAGATACGATCATTTTTCGATGAGTTACAGCCTTTCAAAAATCACCAAAAAATAAAAGAAAATTTTTTGTTCCTTTAATTTTTTGGAGTAGTGTAATATTATTAGTAATACTCATAACCTTAAAAATCACAACTGTTATGATTTAAAGAAACCACAATGCAAGTGAAACTTTTTTCGGATCATAAAATACATCAATACACTGATCAAAACACACAAATACCGCGGAGCACTTACACGAATAAGTAAGGATATAAATGCTACACGGTCAGCTGATGCGAGCCATGGGCGCCGCCATATTGGCCTTGGCTCCTCTGCCGATCGCCTTTCACTTTACCCCGACTCTGCGGCCAGCTGTAATGCGACATGCGATAGATGAACGAAAAATTTTGAGGCAATGGAACAAAAGTTTCACTTTAAAAAGTAAGTTTGAACTATTACTGTTGACGAAATTTAACAATTACACCCAGTTAACGTTGCGTTGAAACTCACTAGGAACTAAACAAACAACATAAAGTCTGCTATCTCTAAAACACTAATAGCTTTGAGATAGTTTGATAGTATGCCATGAATATTCTTGGTAACACAAAAATAAACATATTCTGACAGTAAACTTGAACATAATAAACCTCTACATAACTTAAACAGCATTACAATTAGTACACTGTATCTTGTACAATTTTAAATAATAAGTCGATTTCTCGAAACATAAAACAAAAAACAACTGTATCTACTGACTTCCTCTTTAAAATTTGATTGTGACATTTATTTTTATGTAATTACCTTAAAATCTAAATTTTATTCTTACAGATATCTCCAAAATAATCATAATTTCAAGTTAGTAATCCACAAATATTATCTTTTATTAATTAATAAGCAAACAAAATATTTTGTCAGCTAATTAAAAAATAATATACAGGGTGTTTCACAATTTTTCAAAAAAATCAGCATCACAGTAAATTATATCTTAAAGAATTTTTAATAAAAAGTCAACCTCTTACTAAATGTCACGAAATTCCAAAAAAAAACAAGAAGTCTATAGACTTCTTTTTAAAAATTTTATCACGAATTTATTATTTAAAACCTTTTCGAATTTCGTTTTTTAAAGTTCCAAACAGGAAATTTTTGCCCTTAGGAACCAAAATGTACAGTTACGAACACGGAATTTTGGACGATTTGTCATTTGATTGACATAAAAATGTAAAGCTGGCTTTATGTGCAACGAACCTCACTTTCGATTTTTGTAATTTTTATCCCGCTAGAGAAAAAAATGAATAAATTAAAATAATTTATTGAACTAAAAAAAACGTGAAATATAAAAAAAGAAGAAACAAAAAAAACTGAAGAATCTAAATAAACTGTAATTGTAAAGGAAAATAGATGCCAGAAATTAATTTCAACTAAAATGTTTACTTTTAAATGTCAATCATAACAATAATTTAGAGTGGCTTACAATGACATTTTTTTTTAGTTGACATAAATTTGATGTCCAAACTTCCGTGTCCGTAGTTGTATCAAATTCAAAAATCAATAAATCATCCTAAAATGAGAAAAACGCAGGCAATTAAAAAAAAATAAGGTATTTAAGAATAAAACGGATTCAGTTTGAATGCACGGCGAAGTGTGAGAGTTTTTAATAACCTCACTTTTTAAACAACCACTTTGAGGGGACAAAATATAATCAATCAGTGTTACGAAATTTAGTCTGGTAGAGTGGACATATCCAATCATATTCAATTTAAAATACATACCAATTAAGCTAAGCTAATCAGGGAACCCCCTAATTCCAATTACAACAAGTGCAAATGCCATAAACTAAAGCTGCTTTTTATCAAAGATGGCGGCCGTCTGAAAAACTTGTATATTTGGTTGTATAATCAGTATAATTGAAGTTTTTAACTTTCAGTTCAGTATTATTTGTTTATTTATTTGTGACTTGTAATGACTTGTTTATCAATTTAATACACTCAAACATAATAAAGTAATTACTTATCAAATTAAAAGTAATGCACTAAAGAATTGTCAGTCTTGGTCAAAATGACTGTTGTGCTGGTTTCAACACCAACATTTTTAAAATACTTCTACACACTAACCGGAGTTGCACCATTTTCTTTCCCAACATTAAAATCAACCAAACTATCAAAAATCGTGTCTCATATTTGGCCCGTCTTTTTTTGCTTATATTTCATCAGTATTTGCCTTTTTTTCACTACAGTCAACAATAGCAATAAAATTTTTAGCTACATCAACTTTTTAGTCTACCATTGGAACGCTTTATACATGATTGTTTTTGTTGTAATATTCTATAAAAGAAGCATTAAAGTTAGATCTTTGTTAAATGAAACGAATAAAATACAACTTAATGCATATAACTCAGGAACGAATGAAAACTACGTCAGGATTATTCTAATCGTTACACTTGTTTGTTTGTTAATTACGTTCCTCTTGAGAGATGTTCCGTTGACTTACACCATTTATTTTATGTACCCTTGCACTCTTAACACTTTTGATAATCTTTTTATAAATGATGTTTTAAACATTTTCTGCAATAAATTTAAAGCTATCAATCGGAAATTTAAAAATGTTATCAAAAAACTTGGCACAACTCAATTAATTTTCAACATAGAAATAATACAGCAATTATCTCACTATCACTATAATTTAGTTTCTCTAGTACTCGAAATAATAAAACAATTTGAAATCACTTTGATAGTTGAAATAACACAGTTATTTATTGTAATGGTGGACAGTGCTTACACGTTTACTTTTTTAATCTTCAACAAACAAGTTTTGACGTTTCAGTTTGGATGTAACCTATTTTTCACTATTTATGCTATCTGTTGGTTGCACATCTTAATTAAAAAATTTAGTGAAACTCAAGAAGAAGCAAATAAAGCTGGAAGTTACGTCCATTGCATCTGGAATAACTACAGTGTGATGAGAAATGTTGGAAAAAAACTGCTTCATTTGGAATTAATTTCTCTTCGACTATTGAACACTAAGGTCAATTTTACAGCAAGGGGGTGTTTTAATCTAGACTGGACGCTACTTCAAATGGTTTAAATGAGTTTTCAATAAAACAATCCTATAATTCAATTTTTAGATAATTGCAGGTGTTACCACATATTTAGTGATTTTGATACAATTTCCTACATAAAATTTGTTCAGCCATGACTACAGAATTGTATAAGAATGATAACATAAGTTGTAATCGCAGCAATGACCTAAAATACAACTTTCTGCAAAAAAAAATTAAATAATTGTTACCTACCATATGACAACAAGTCCAGTCCAATGTAAAGAAATTTCTTGCAGTAAATTTCAGTTTCGTATTAAGTAATTTAACAGAAACTAACTGCAAATGTCTTATTCTCTTATCAAATTTCCCATCGACGGCAAATTTATTCCAAATATCGTGCACAAGTGTTGCAGTTTGATTAGCTTCACGTTCCACACGACAAAAGGGTTCAATCATTGTAAAAAGCCAATAAAACGCATATATCACAAACACAAAATCGATCAAATAATCAATAAATAACTCATTGAATGTGCCGTTGATACTAATGTAAACCACGTAATAAACCGTTTCTATAATTTTTTCGAACCATAAAATTAAATTTGCTACTATTATCACTTCAAAATGTTTACAAATCTTGTAGGAGACTTTCACTAAATCATAATGAATGTGTGAGAAGTTTTCAATAAGGTTCATATCATTATCAATTTCTATGTCTTGAAGAACCTCAATTCGGTTTCTTTTGGTCGAAGGAAAAATCTGTTTCAAATCTATTGCAGTCACTTGTTTTTCCAGTTGGTAATTGACTGATTCAAACTTAGCAAAAACCGCATTTAATACATCCCTTACAAGAAAATTAACTGAAAAATTTATTACAAGTGGTAGCATGTAAAGATAAATTATGGGATTTTTCGGTGTCTCTATCACAAAAACTGTGGCAATATTTGTCAGTAATAAACCGACCAGGCAATATGTGTGCCAAGTACTTTTAGAAGTCAGCTTTACATCAGTTGGAATTTTATTTATTTCAAACAAAATTTGTCTCAAATTTGTACTTTTAGTGCAACAAATCCAAAAACATGTGAAAATTGAAAACACATTAACACCGTTGGAAAAAATACTGATGTAGAAGAAAATTCCAGATGCAGAAAAAGCATCAGAGGTATTAAAATCAAAACAGAGGTAAAAAAAATACAGGTAAAAGGGCAAACACCACAAACGTGACAGACGCGAATTTGATGACTCGTTGTAAGAAAATTGAACAAATCCTGTTAATTTATAAAAAAATTTCAAGAAATGTGGTGTGTTGGGAAGCAAAGTCATGGTAACGACTAAATTATCATAATCGATCCTCATATCTTTCCATTAACTAAATAGAACAACAAATATAAGGCATTATGTTAATTACGAGTACATTAATCTGTATCTACAAAGTGCTTGAAATTATACAATTTTGTCATTTTTGTACGAAATTTCAACTTACAGCGATTTTTTCTACTTTGATTTGCTCTGATGTTCCAACAAATAATAAGTTTAAAAAAATATTCATCAAACTAAAGCAGATTTGCCTAAAATCTGACACATTTGGCAATAATTTCATTCGTTTAATTAACACAGTTTTAGCATTTTTTTGTATTTTATTATTATCTTAAGTAAAAACTGTGTCTGCAGAGTGTACCTATAATAGAACTGTTTCTTCCTCTATTTTTTGCTCCATGCAATTATACAGGATGTCCCAATGAAAAGGAGCCACTCCGAATATCTCAGAAAATAAAAAGACTTGGCAAAAACGCCAAAATAGGTCAATTTTGTTTCCGAGGAGGACATTTTTTGACGTAATTTTTAATGTACTTCCAGTAACCCCCTAACATACATGCACCCCAACTTTAAAAATTTAATGACACTACCCCACTTGTGACACATGAAAGCTATTTTGACGAGCTTTTTAAGACTTTTTTTAACAAAATTGAATCAGACCTTCCATTCATGAGATACTGGGTGTTCTAAGAAACAAACCACCTTAGAGAAAATTGCAAAAAAAACCAAAACAGATCAATTTCGTTTTTAAAAAGAACATTTTTTGATTCAATTTTAAAAGCATCCCCACTAACCCTTTAACTTCCCCTACCTCAGTTCCGAAATCTCAAATGACAGCGATTCAATTAAAATGTTATTCTTTAAATCTCTTTTCTAAAGTTAAATGAGATTATCTATTCATAAGATATTCGCAAAAAGTGATATTTATAATAATTAGTAATTACTTTTAAGAAAAACTATTAAAATAAATTACAAAAAACTTACTAATATTGTTATAAATAATTATTATTGAAGCTGTGACAAACTTATTTTTGTTTCTTTATTGGGTGATAATAGAAAAGGGATGTATCTAAAAAACAGTAATAGTTCTTAAGTTCCTTTGTACATATTGACTGCTGAAAGATTTTTTTTGCCGATATTTTATGAATGCATAGAAATCATTTCATTTTGAAAAAAAAGCTTTTAAAAAGTATTTTAAAAGTGTTTTCGTTTTATGTGTCACGAGTGTGTTGGTGCTATTTGACATTTTAGAGTTAAGTGGCATAGAGGTTAAAGAGTTAGTGGGGGTGCTTTTAAAATTGAGTCAAAAAATGTTCTTTTTAAAAATAAGGGTTTTGTGCAAATTCCTTCTAAGGTAGTTTGTTTTTATTTGAACACCTGTATCTTATAAACAGATAGTTTGATTCAACTTTGGTAGAGAGTCTTGAAAAGTTTGTTTAAATAGCTTTCATTTGATGTGCTACAAGTGGGGTAATGCTATTTAAATTTTTAAAGTTGGGGTGCGTGGGGGTTAGAGGATCACTGGGGGTGCTTTAAAAATTACATCAAAAAATGTCCCCTTCGAAAACAAAATTGACCTGTTTCAGCGTTTATGCAAAATATTTTCATTTTCTGAGATATTCAGGGTGGTTCGTTTTCATTGAGACACCTGTACATATTTTAATGCGATGTGATTGCAGAAATTTGAGTAAAATTTTGAACGATTAATAATCATCTAAACTCGATCTCTGCAACTTGATTTCTATTGTAGAAATAAAAAATTCAATGATTTTGCACAACAAACAAACTGATACAACGACAAAAAAATTGTTTTTTTTTTTTAAATTCCTATTATAACCAAATTTTCTTTTTGAAGTTATTTTAATTTAGATTAGAATTTCTTCCATTTGGTATTTTTGAGAAATTGGAAAATGTAGACACATAATTTTTGATGATTTCAGGTGCTTTCTGCCGTTGCATTTTATGTTGTTATTCTCGAACAGTTTAATTTTAAGACTTAATAAATAAAAATAATAATAAAAATTCTATCAGTTATTTATTTTCACATTTTATTATTGTTTAAATATAAAACTGGATTAAAATCACTACGTAGACGGTTACTGCTGAAATTACCTAAAACAAACTAAGTATTATTTTATAAAGGAAATGTTTTTTTTACCGTATGGCAGAAGCTCCGGTCTATATTGAACAATCCACTTGCCGTAAATTGCAATTTTGTGTTAAGAAATCGAACGGAAATTAATTGTAGATGTCGCACTTTTTCGACAAAGTTCCTCTTAACATATTTGTTCCAAACGTCGTGTACAAAAATCGGTGTTTTGTTGGCTTCAGTTTGTACTCGAGTAAAATTCTCGATTGATGTAAAAAGCCAATAGAATTCAAAAATTGCATGAATAGCATCAAGAACATGAGTAAGCAAATGATGACTAGAATCGTCGTTTACTACAGTAAATATAGAAAAATATGTGCTTTCTATAATTTTTTCAAACCACAACGTTAAAGTAATCACAAGTCCAATTTCGAAATTTTTACATATGTCGAGTGACAAGTGGACCAATTGGTAATGATATTGAGAGAGTTCTTCAATGTATCTGAGATTCCAATCAATTTCTTCATTTTCCAAAAACTTAATTTTTTTGGTTTTAGTCAAGGGAAACGATTTTTGTAAATCAGCTAAATCGGATTGCCGTTCAAATTCCTTATTCAGAAATTTAAATTTATCCACAAGCAGGTTTAATACATCTCTTTTAAACAAATTGTCAAAACAATTAATTGTGATAGGAAGAATGTAGAAAAAAACTACAATCGGAACCGATTCTTTTAAATACGGAATAAATGCAAAATGTGCTAAATAAAGTCCAGTAAGTAACAATTGATGCCAATCAAACTTTTTTATCGATTTTTCCCTAAAATCAATTGCATTGATTTCTAATAAAAGACATTTTAATTCATTTGCTTTAAAACCAAAAGTTGTGATTAAAATCGAAATGCAGAAAATATTGGCTAAATAAGAAACACTAGATAAATATACAAATAAGCTCAAATCACTATGATCATAAGGCTCGCAACACACACACAAATAAATAAAATAACTGCAAAAAGGGACACACCAAAAATGGTTACAAATTTTTGAAAATAACGTTTCTTGTGTTTTGTCTGAAAATTGAACCAATCCAATAATTTTGTAAATGAATTTCAAGTGTGTTGGAGTGTTGGGGAGCAAACACATTTTACTTAACAATTAGTTGTATTTAATCCATTAAAGACAATTAATTGACTTAGCATTAAGTGAATTGAAAACAATATTTATGGAATGTTTTCCAATAACTCATTTAATAACCAGATCGATTTTTCCAGTTATAATTGTCATTTAAAAATTATATTTGAAATTGAATTAAAATAACAACGTATGTTGTAATAGATGCAATCATCTGAAACTCTGAAATAATTTATCTCCTTCGAAAACTTATCTCTTACCATTTGACAAAAACTCCAATCCAGAGAAACCACATCACAAGCTGTAAAATTTAATTTTGTGGCATAAAACTGCACTGCTGTTAATTGTAAATATCGTATTTTTGTATCAATAGCTCTTTTGAGTGCATATTTATTCCAAATTTCATGAATATAACTCGCACTTTTATTCGCTGCATTTTTGATTCGGACGTAAATCCTTATCACGACGAACAGCCAGTACAAATTTAAAATCAAAAACATGATGTTGATCCCATAATGGACAATGGGCCGGTCTGTCCCATTCACTGTCACAAAAAGGAGGTAATAAACGGTTTCTATCATATTTTTAAACCACATTAAAGCGCCAACTAAAGTTGTAAGTTCAAAATTTTTGGCGATATCTTGAGAAAGTTGAACCAATTCGTAATGATGTGAGGAAAGTTGGTGTACAATATTGATGACTGAAATATCGTTGTCTTCTAAAAATTTTATTCGTTTTGATTTATTTCGAATTGAAGTAAGTGTTGAATCGATAGATTTGACCTCACGACGTAACTGGGAATTGATTGTTTTGAATTTATCCAAAATTGGGTTTAGAACGTCGTTTAAAAAAAGACAATCAAAAATCTGGATAATTAGGGCATAGTAATAAATATAAAAAGCAACTTGTGGTGGGCTAACTAAAAATGGTATAAAAGTAAGGTTTGATAAGAGGAGTCCGATAAGAGTAAATCGAATCCAATTTTCTTGTGTGTAAAAAACTGAATATAAATTCATAGTGTTAATTAGATGTAATTGGAATTTAAGTTTGTCCTTTCTTTTCCAAAATGAAAAGAAAAAAATTAGTACATAAAGAACATTTCCGTAGTTTGTGATTAATGCAACATATAGTAAAACACTATTTTTAGAGAATTTGGTAATGATGTTGTAGTTTATAAAAAGATAGATGAAAAAAAAGTAGTAAGGTAAATATGCAAGGTTTAAGCATCCAGAATTTGAAATTTGGTCAATACCCAACAAAATATAGATCCATTTCAAATAAATGGGAGTTGTTACAAGAGAACACATTTCATGAATTAAAAGCGACTGAGTTTTGAACACTTGGTTTATTATTTATTGATCGTTTATTGATTACAGTAACAATTACAATTTATTTTGACAATAAAGTTATAACTTATAACATTAAAATTTTCAATTTATTACGTAAATGATTATAATAAAAGTATGCAACCAGTAAAACACTAGTCCCAACAAGTAGGGAATTTGCAGTTTATGGAATATTTAAAAGATTAAAATCTATAATACGAATGTTTCCAAATTTAAATTTATCAATAAAAATTACTTTCTTTTATCAAAGTGATACTGGGAATCACCACTATACCTTCTAAAATGTCGGAGGAGTATAATATGTACAAAATATAGAAGTAACTATAAATTCTCAATTGTTTATCCTAACCTCATTTTTAACTTTTAGATTGATGAATCGTGATGTTCCTCAATTACGTGATTGCCACCCTTTCTATCTGTCTCTATTTGCATGGATTTTTCCCAATACCGGCTCGACCCATTGAAAAATCTCCCCCCAGCAACCGAACTCAATCTCCAAATTCCAGGAAACTGGTCTTCGTAGTAATCGATGCCCTACGTGTCGACTTTATTTCCGACACAAAAACACCATTCTTATCAAAATCGTTTAAAAATAATGGTTGTTTCATTCATCTCAAAGTTGAAACTCCAACCGTTACATTACCACGAATTAAAGCCTTGACGACAGGAAATGTACCCCAATTTGTCGATATTATACTGAATTTGGCCAATCCGACAAAGGTTGAAGATAGTTTCATTCATCGGGCTCACGCTGCAGGCAAGAAGATTGTCTTTTATGGTGATGATATTTGGGTTAAGCTTTTTCCCGATGAGTTTGTCAGGAGTGAAGGGACTTCGTCATTTTTTGTTAATGATTTCACGGAGGTGGACGATAATGTCACACGAAATATTAGATGGGAAGTCGAGAGGAACGATTGGGATATTATGATTTTGCACTATTTAGGTAGAATTTTACTTTTTCCAAAGAATGTGTTTTTAAGCCATTTTTGAAGGTTTGGACCACATAGGTCACGTTTACGGCCCCAAATCTCCGCTCATTTTAACCAAACTCAAAGAAATGGATTCTATATTGAGGGAAATCTACAGGACTAACGCGATTTTAATGGTAACAGGTGACCACGGGATGAGAGACAGTGGGGGGCACGGGGGCTCCACCCATCCTGAAACCAATGTCCCCTTAATCGTTTTAGGGCTACCTTGCAATAATGACTCTTTTGCCCAAATTGATATTCCCGCCAATTTGGCTATACTGCAAAATTTCGATGTTCCAACCACTAGTATTGGCCAACTTCACCAAAGTTTGTTATCTCATTTGCCACAATCAGAATTTTTACAAGCATTGAGATACAACACTTTTTTGTTGACAAATAAGCTGGATTTATGCGGAGAAACGATTCACACTGCTGACCATTTTTTCGATTTATTTCTACTTAATCACAACAAAGAATTGGCCGAAAATGCGGCCCAATTGTACAAGAATTGTGCACAAAAAATTAGTGAATCGTTGCAAAAGACCTCAGTTCGACAAAACATTACATCTTTGATTATAGCGACTGTTACAATAATTGTAATTTTATTGAAAATCTTTCAAAAACTTGTTGGGGTTTCCCCGAAAACTGATAGATTCCAACAAATGGTGATGTTGGCAGTGCTGTTTTTACAGTTTGCCCAGTTTCACGTTACTATGGATATTGTGCTTACCTTGACAGTATTATTTTTACTTGTTAAAAATTTAGTGTGTTTTGAAACAAAACATTTGAAGCATGTTGACAGATCGTTCTTGACATTGATGTCAACTGTGCATCCGTTGTCATTCTTATCGTCGAGTTTCTTGGAAGAGGAGCACCAATTTTGGTATTTTTTCACAAACACTTTTTTTTTGTTTAATATTATGACGGATTTGAAAAAAATTAAATATTGGATTTTGCTTTTTGTTGCAATCAGATTCATACGCACAATTAATCAAGTTGGCGATAAATGGGCCGCGTTGCCAGATTTAGCCGACTGGTTGCTACAAAACGAAAATTATTTATTTTTGCAAGTAATTTTTATTGCAGGGTTAATTTCCTCATATTTTTGTAACAGTATATTTGCAAAATCGAAATTTAGTAAATTTATCGATGCATTAGTGTTGATTTTAATTTATATATTTCGATCTGTTTTCGAAAATATAATTCTGGGTCAAGTTTTGTGGTTTCTTCTTTTTATAAAATTTATACTGTGTGTTTCAACGAAGGAAAGTTTTGCATCAGTTTGGTTATTACTTATTAATCTGTTACTCAAGCCCTATAATGTGATACTTATTCCAGTTTGTGTATTAGCTAGTCGACTTTTCCACAAAGCTTTAAAAACCGAAAATGTAATTATGGCCCATAGGTGGTTGGGTAATTTGTTATTTTATGCCCAAGGGCACGATAATAGTTTAGCAAGTGTTGATATTTCGAGCGGTTATATCGGATTACGCGAATATAACCCTCTGTTAGTTTTCCCTCAAGTATTGTGCCACACGTACGCCTTTCCGGTATTAAGCGATTTGCTACTTTTCACAAACAGAAAAGTAAACATTTTCAAAGGTCTCCCCATTTTTGTGTTATTTAGATTATACATTATTGTACTAGTTTTTATAATAACTTTCATACACAGACACCATTTGTTTATTTGGTCAGTTTTCGCCCCAAAATTGTTTGTTGAAGCAAGTCATTTTGGGTTTTTATTTATTGAAGTTTGTTGTTATTATTTCATTGATTTAATAAAAAGACTGTGTTACTAAAAGTACATTTTTTAAATAAAACAACGGTTATATCAAAGAGTTTTATTAATTACATACATGATAATTAATCTTCAGGTTTATCGGGAGGTGGCCCACAAGGCTGAAGCATTTTTTCCATTAAATTAAACCTAACGCGAGCTTTGGCCTCATTTTCACAAATTGCAAAGTAATTTAATAAGTCGTGGTGCCCCAAATAACTGGCATAGCTGTCCCTGTGTTGGTTCAACAACCACTCATATTTTGTTATTTCGGAATGCCCTGTCCCGATATATTTCGACTGGAGATGCTCTAGCTGACTGTGGATGTTGTAGCGGTCGCCCATTTTATCTACAAATTAAAATAAATTACAATATAAACGCAAAAATAACAAATACTTTTGAAGCTACTGTAAGCAACTTTGTACACATAACCTCAATATGTCAACAGAGCAGTGTCGCCAACAGTGCGTCAATGAAATTCTCAATGCGATAAAAAATCTTTCTATCAAGTAGGCGTCCTAGTTGAGGACGTATGTTGTTTGGCAGTTTGTATGTCAGCTAGATGTCAAAAAATTATTTTATAAAAATTAAAATATTGATCTAAACAAATTGAATTAAAGTATGAAACGTCTTAAAACACCCTAAAATGAGATGTAGTTGGTATTTATACAAATCGTTCATCACGATTTGCTGTTGCAGTTTACATAAAAATTATTTTGACATTTCTTATTTACCATTGTGACATTTTATCTTCGCTACACACACGTTTTAAACTTCTAGGCTTGCTGGATAGACAAACATTTTGATCGCATTGTATGAAAGTAATAAATGTAAAAAACAATAAACATAAACAGTTAATAATTCTAAATAAACTTTAAATATAAAAATAAAAAAAAAACAAAAAAAACAGTAGTTGGTATTAATGTTACTATTTATATCGAGCGATCAAGATAATTTGTAATCGAGCCATCTTTGAATTCGAAAACGTATGTCTGTGAAATGTCAAATAAAATGATAAGTAGAAAGGTAAAATGGTATGATCAAAAAAAATGTGATTTTAATAACTAAATTTATGATTTACCTTCAAAGAAGACAGTTAACTGTTCTATTATTATACCTCAACGACTAATTATAGCCCATTTTGAAGTTTTATCTTTCGACTTGTCATTTTATTTGACGTTTACGTGCACTTAGTTGAAAAACAGACGTTTTCGAAAAATTCTCTAAAAATTCTCATAGTGATTTCGATCCACACGACCGAAACTAGAAAACACTATACAGAATGTCCCATGTAAAACTTTCGCGTTTAAATTGTTTCTGTTATTTATTTTTAGAACCAATGGTGTCAATGGTGGTACCTTCGAACATTTTTTGTTGTATTGAACTGGTTAGTTAGTTCAATAAATTCACTTCCGAAATTACGTTGTTAACTTTTTGAATTTGATTTTTTTAATGCAATAAAACTTGAGCAAAACATTCATAAAATTTTATTTTCTGCTATAAATATAAATTGATATGATAATTAAAACGACTGCGATTAACAACGAAACAACAAATTAGTATAAAACAACATTAAAACAATCACTATAAAATGTTAAACGTTAACTTGAAGATTAGTGTGTTTATTATTTTCAACGCCGTAAAATTCAACCGGATTTTCATATTCGTGTTGTCCGGGTTGAAGTATCGACTTATTTTCGGGTTCGTCAATATGCAAACCATAACCCGGATTATGAAACTTCATACTAGAAAATAAATTAGCAAAGAAAGACCACAATAAAACACTACAAACCTAATCACATTAAAAGTTCCATTATTGCGCCTTTTTATCAAATAATAAAGAACAGCACCGAATGTGATCAAGCAGATGGAAATCATCACACCGGCAATCACCGGCCCCAAATTTGAACCTGCGTAATTATCCACGTAATGGAGTGTTTTTACTCTCCTCCCATCATCACTTGCTTCTCTCTAGAAAACAAATTAAAACACCAAACAATGAAATTTATCAAGAAAATTACCAGCAAAGTGTCGCATTCCTCCTCCGGCTTCACAAACTTGCCATTTTCGCATAAACACCGATAGTGGAGCTTTGCAGGAACACAAAGCTGGCTACACGTGTGGTTTTGGCACGGATTATTCCCAAATTCTGGCTGCCGTGATTCTTGGACGATGGCAAATAAGTCACTTTTGAGACTAAAGGAGTCACAAATGATCGGTGAATATAAGCGACACTTTTGTATGAAATTCCCAGTTTGGAAGTATAAGTAATTCTCAAAGAAAGTCAAACCTTGTGGTCGAGTCAAGTTTGAGACCAAAATAGTTCTATCACTGCCGTCGTATTTAATTTTGCTCAGTTGGTGTTGGTTGATGAAATAGAGTTCTTTCTTGTACAAATCGTAGGAAATTCCGGTGATGTAGCCGGGGGAGGTTTTGACCAGTTCTTGAGTTTCAGTTCCATCGAGGTTTGTCTTGTAGATGATGTAACTTGGGGAGTTGAAAATCCACCAACTGACAAGGGAGTAGAAAAGGAAGTTGTTTGTAGAGTCCACAACTAGGGCCGAGACTTGTCGATGAGTGTCAATAGGGATGAGGTTGGCACACGTCTTATCCTCAAAATTGCAAAGTCCGATTGATTTAGTTACTGGAGCATTATTAACGTAGTATAAGTTGTTTGTCTTCCAATCAAGAGAGATTTTGGTTGGTTGTCCCACATTTTCCAAGTATTCTCGTTTCGTATCACCTTGATTTATCTTAAGGATAGCATCCGAATTCTCAACTGTAAAATAAATATCTCCAGATTTGATCCCAACTTCCAGGCTTGTAATCTTGGGAGTTTCATCCGAGTAAATCAACTTGAGAGAATTTTCCACTTGTGACATTTCCCGAATTTGATTATTTGAGGAAAAAACGAGAGACATTGCGGTGCCTTCGGCTTTACAACTTGTCCTATCTGACCTAAGAGCGAACCCTTTATAACAATCACACGAGTATGATCCTTGCGAATTGTGACAAATTTGGCTACAAACCGGCGGATGTCCTTCACACTCGTTGATATCTTCACATGTTTGGCCATCTCCTGTAATATAATTATAGTTTTACGGGTTGAAAATTTTATGTTAGTACCTTGCAACTGGTAGCCTTCTTGACATTTACACGTGGCTCCTGTTGGTGTTTTGACACAAATTTGTGTGCAAGGGTTATTTAGAGAGCTACACGAAGTGTTACAAACCCCTCCTTCATCCGAACCGTCGTAACAATTGGGTTCTCCGTTACAAACCAATGAAAAATCGATACAATTCCCATTCTTGCACTGAAAGGTATCAACGCAAGACAAATTCATGTCTTGTTCTGGGATTGTGTGGTTACACAACGAGGAATCTTCATCTGAGCCGTCGCCGCAGTCATCCGAATGGTCGCAAATCCATTCCCTCGGGATACACTTTGTGTTATTACAGGAGAATTCATCGACGTGACAGTTGGAACAGCTTTGCTCGTCTTCGTGGTGTGGACATTCGGAGGTTCCATTACATCGGGCTGAATCTGGGAGACAAATATGGCTGTGCAAAGAGCAGGGAAATTCGCCCAAATCGCAGGAATTCTCCATAACGCAGGAAAGTTCGTCTGAGTTGTCACCACAATCATTCTCATTGTCGCAAACGAAGCTTTTGTCGATACATTTCCCGTTATTACAAGTGAAAGTTGAGGTGTCGCAAGAAGCTGAAAAGTAAAGTAAAACAAGGGGATATTAACCCTTAAACTGCTCTAAACGTATATCTACGTATATCTACTACGAAATTACTTTTAAAATGTTTTAAAAACATATAATGACTTATTTTGAAATCATATTAGTTTCATAATATAAAAAGACCATAAATGCATTGCTAATTCAAAATTTTTTTCTTTGGTGTTATTAACTGCTCTAAATGTATTTATACGCGGTAACTGTTTAATGCGTTCTTAGAAACCCATGGGACGGATTCCTTTTTTTCATAAAAAATGTTCAAAAGTTGTGTTCTGCGATATTAGCACGGAAAAATGAGTGATGACTTTTTACAAGCGAAATTATTTTATTACTTATACAATTTTTTAAGTTTGCTTTTTATTGTTACAGAACAAATGTCTTTTTGTATCAACAATACAAAACAAATTTTTACTGATCAAGAGCGCAAGTAAATTTTTGCTAAAAACGGTGACAAAGTATTATTCTGTTCAAGAAATTGATAATTTTGACTATTACGTTTTGTGACAACAGTTAGGAGTATTTAAAAAACTTATGGGGAGCAATAAGGTTTCTTTACTCTTAAAATATTGCACCGAATAAAACAAATTATCTTTTCTCTAAATTTTACAAATACAGACCTGAAAATTTTTCTAAGAATTTGTGAATTTAGCAGTAAACTGCTCAAAACGTATTTATACGCAATAAGATTTAACCGCTCTAAACCTACATATACGCACCACCCAAAAAATGTGCGCACACAGCGCAAGGATTATAAAATTAATTTAGCAGTTTAAGGGTTAAAAGAAATAAACGTACCACAGCCAGAATGTTCGTCGGAAAAGTCTGGACAATCGTAGTCGTGATCGCATTCCCAGTTTTTCGGAATGCAAGCTCCTGATTGACACCTGAATTCGTAATCTTTGCACACTGTTGAAACACAATTAGTTTCGTCTTCCTCCTCTAGACAGTCTTTGACACCATCACAGACGAGTCGGTCGTTGATACATTGCCCACTTTTGCACATGAAATGTTTAGGAGGGCATTTTTTCGCCTCAACGCTACAGTTGTGTTCATCTGACTTGTCTCTGCAGTCAAATTTATAATCGCATTTGAATCTTTCATCAATGCACTCTCCATCGTTGCATTGGAAATTGTTGTGAGGACAATGATTTGGTTTTTTACAATCAGCTTCGTCTTCCCCATTCGGGCAATTTCTTTCACCATCACACATGAATTTCTTGAGGACACAAGTATTGGAACCACTACAGAAAAATTCCTCAGAAGTGCAATCAATGCGTTTGATGCAAGTTTTATTGTCGGAGTCAAGGATCATATCAACTGGGCAAGCACAAACTATTGTCTTGTGACACTGAAGACATAAATGTGAACAACCACCATTCTTTCGTTGACACGGACTTAGGCCAATTTTGTGAGGAGTGACCGACACTAAGTACATTCGATCAATATCGTGGGGCAAATCTGAAAGAAAATTTGTTTAAATTATAATTTTCTTCATACTTTTTATACCTAAAGTGATTTTCTTGTTGTAATCATGATCCCCAGTGTTGTATTTATCGGCCCAATACAACTCTTTCGAATTTCGGTTAACCCAGAAAACTTCAGATTTAAGCGTTGTTATTCCAATTGGGTTGGTTTGAAGTGACCGGAAACCGTGTCTGTCATCACCTTCAACACTGGTACTTTCGATATTTCGAGTACCAGAATCAGCGATGAGGATTCGGTGAATGTCACTATCGTAGAAAAGAGAGATGGGACCAAGAAGTCCATGTTCTATTGGATGGGTTCTGCTGGTACCATCCATGAGAAACCTATCCACGTGACCGTCACGTTGACCAAATCTCCGAAAAGCTACAAACATGACCCTAGAAAAAAATAAATAAACTCGTGAAAAAATATTTTTAAAGTTACCCTTCTTCCGGTACTAAAGCAATCGATTCAGGAGTTTCTCCATGCGTATCGTGTAGAAGAATTTTTCGCGAGTTGGTGTTAAAATTGTAAACTTCGATTGTATCACGTAGAGAGTCACACCAATATAAGTTGTTTCCCAAATGATCTTCAAAAAATAATTATTTAATAGTTAATAATTAGTACTTGTGTACTCACCATAATCCATAGCTGTGACTTGACCTAAACTCTCAATATCGATTGGTTTTACCATTTCTGTATGCAAGTTAACACTTATAATTTTTCTTGTTTCCAAATCACTAACATAGATGACATTTTCCACACTGTTATAAGTCAAGGCTCCCATTTTCTTGACCATCATGGGCATAGCTTGGACGTCATGTCGGCCCAAAACCTGATGTTCAACTTCCATAAGAAGGTTCCCGGCTCCAAGTACCAATTTCTGTTTCTTCTCCAAATCTCTACAAGTGTGTCCATTTGAACTCAATTCCTTGTTCTGAGGACAGGCACAAGTGAAGCTCTGGGGGCCACTTAGCAGACAAATATCGCTGCAAGGATTATGAGCACATGGATTCAGATGGGGTGCTTTATGGTTGTTGGGGTGGTAGATGGTAATTCCGTAAATGTACTCTTTCTGTTCCTTGATTAAGGTGTGGTGGTTTTTACCGGTGAATTTATCGCATGATTGGATGGAATGGGTGGACCAGTCTGACCAATATAGACGGTTTTCGAAAACTGCGATAGCGTATGGGTGTTTGACAATTTCATCGAGGACAATTCGACGGTCGGTACCATCAAGACGAATGCTTTCAAGGGTCATGAGTTTGGCGTCGGTCCAGTAGAGACGCGAGTTTGGGTAGTCGATGGTCAGACCATTGGGCCAATGGATGTCACTTGAGATGAAAGAAGCACCATTGGTACCATCCATGAGGGCGCGCACAATTTGCGGCTGGTGGCCCCAATCCGTCCAGTACATTTCTCTACGATTTATTTTGGTGACGGTTCCAAATTCAAAAACTGACTTACCCTTCCAGTGGATTAAGAACAATAGCTCGGGGTTTTTGAACATTTTTGGTTACTAGCACGGTACAGAACGAACCATCGTTGTTACAAACGCCAATATGTTGGCGTTCCGCATCGGTGAAGTAGATATTTTTGGTGATGTAGTCCACATGGAGGTCTTCAGGGGCACCTAAACCGGCAGTTACCAACAACTAAAAAATATTTAGTACTAGTACTATTATCACAGATTTTACTACCTCTTTCTGCTCTCCGTTTTTCAACGACCTGACTATACTTTCATGTTCTGATAAAATATCAGTCCAGTATACATACTGTCCATCAAAATCAACTCCAACCACTTGATTTAAATTTTTAGCCACTGGAAAATACAACTCAGAGCGCAACAAATATGCCCGAATTTGGTCTTTCGAACTGAAAAACATCGTAGCTTCACCAAAATGAGCCTTGCAACTTTTCTTATCCTCTTGGAGGCTGTAATTTTCCTCGCAGTAACATTCAAACGACCCTGGCGTGTTTTTACATTTCTGGTCACATATACCTATAAAAAAATATAGTAAAAACAATATAAAAATGGAAAAGACAAACCGTAAGTTTCGCACTCGTTGATGTCTTGACAGTGTCTTTCATCAATATTGCGGTAACCTTTGGGGCACAAGCATTTGGGTCCTGTTGGTAGCTGGACGCAATTGTGTAAGCAATCTTCGCAGGTTTTATTACAAGAAAACCCTTCATCGGATTTATCAGGACAATGGTTCACCTCGTCACAGACTTGACTCAACTTGATGCAAGTTTTACCATCGGAACAGAGAAATCGCTGATTTTCCAATGTACATTCTTTGGGTTCGACATGACTTTCTAAAAAAAGAATAAAGTAATTGATTTCTCAGAAAAATATTTTACCGCAGTCTTCTTCATCGCTGTTATCTCTGCAATCATCCTGCCCATCACATCTCCATTCTTTAAAAATGCAATGTCCGTTTTTGCATTTAAACCCATCATCGCATTCCATGGTGTGACTACAACCCAGCGCCTCGTCTGACCCATCCAAACAATCAGCCTCCCCATTGCACACCCATTCCAATGGTATACACAACTTATCCGTGCACTGCCATTGGTCTTTCCCACACGTGGAGTTCTTTTCAAGCTTCTTCTTAAACTCTTCACAATTTTCCTCATCGGAAAAATCATCGCAGTCGTTTTCAAGGTCGCACACAAATGCAGAACTGATACATCTCGTGTTTTTGCAGCGGAAAAAATCCGGTTCGGCGCAATGAAACATATCTGAGAAAGGTTAATTTTTGAGGAAAAAAAGTGGAAATAGTTACCACAATCGTGCTCATCGGAACCATCGCTGCAATCGGGAGTACCATCGCATTGTTTTTTCAAAGGGACGCATTGGAGATTTTGGCAAAAAAAATCGGTATCGGTGCAATTTGAGGTTTTGGAAGAGAGGAGAAATCCGCTGACAGAAGCTAGGGCTCCTGCGAGGACCAGGAGGTTGTACATGCTACGAATTTAGGGTTTCGGACGCTTTATTTTTGATAATTTTGAATTAACTTACCTAAATTGTGCGATTGAAACGTGCCCAGTGATTGTTGAGATGGAAAAGAGTCAGGGAAGGCTTATCGTAAAGAGATAAAAGGGCAAAAAATCATTTCTTGCCGGCTTGGGATAAAGTGGGGCAAATTTCAAACCGGACAAAGTAATAAACTAGTAATTAAAAATTTATTTTGGTTATTAAAAATTTTACAACAACAATATTACAACAACAAAAATTAAATGCTCGATACAGTAGACGGAAACTCCAGAATTACTAATAATTTTTTCAGTTGTAACGTTAGGACTATTTGATGAAGTTGAAACAGTTGAAATTTCACTTGTAGCAGCTGTTATTGTTGTTTCCGATATTGTTGTTACATTAGTAGTTCCGATTTCATTACTTGATGCAGGAGAATTTGTTGTTGAGTTTCTTGTAATTGTTGAAGGTGTATGCGAGATTATTAAACTGCTCGTAGTTACATGTTCCCTACTTGGTGAAGAAAAATTTGTTATTTCTGTACTTTTTAATTCTAGTGTTGCAGTAACATTACTTTCTTCATCTTTCTTTATTTTTGAAACAGTTGAAATTTCACTTGTAGCAGCAGTTATTGTTGTTTGCGATATTGTTGTTACATTAGTAGTTCCGATTTCATTACTTGATGCAGAAGAATTTGTTGTTGAGTTTCTTGTAATTGTTGAAGGTGTATGCGAGATTATTAAACTGCTTGTTACATGTTCAGTACTTGGTGAAGAAAAATTTGTTATTTCTGTACTTTTTAATTGTAGTGTTGCAGTAACATTACTTTCTTCATCTGAACAAAAAAAAATGTAATGGAAAAAAATTGAGAAATAGAATCTTACTCGGTGTTTCAGTAGTTGCATTTTTAACATCTTGAGCCAAAAGTTGACGGCTCAAGGCAAATATTGTCTGAATAAATAGAAAAAAATTTAAAATATTAAAAACGGTTTTGCCTTTCGTAAAACAACTTACTGCAAAAATAATAAAGTTTGTCTTCATGGTGTTGAGAAAAACTGAGAACTTTGCTAGGCCTCTCTCTTATAAAGATCGTAAAACGGAAGTCTAAATATTTATTTATATGAGTATTTTCATTTTCCTTTTGTGCAACCTTATCAGTGCAGTGCAGTACCATTCTTATGCTTTATTTGTTTTATTAACTCCTAAGTAAAGAAGTGATTACGTATGAGGAAAAGATTTGAAAAATGTATTTGTTATTTTTTTTTTTAATTCGCAATATAATCTAAAACTTCTGCTTTTAATTGTGAATCAGCAGAAACGTTAAATGTGACATAAAATTGATATATGAGTATTTTACTTTAATAAGTTATTCTGTTGAAAACAATGATAAACACATTGACTCTCTAAGTTTTACATTATGTTTTATATTTCTCAATGTTGTGTTCATGCAGTAGTAAATTTTGGAATTAGAAGTTGGTACAGAAAATAAATATTAACAACGAGAGATTAAATAAAAAAAATACTTATCGTTTGCGTTCAAATCCAAGCAAGGACAACTAAAGAATAAAATCATATTTATATTTGTTTTAATAACAGCTGTCTACGTCTAAATATGTATTCATTTATACGGGTTTTTTCGCTCTTCTCTTGTTTTATTTTTGTCCTCGGACGAAAAAAATGTGAGCCAATAATAGACAGGATGATTCAAAAGTGTCGGACCATTTCTTTAGTGGTGAAAAAGGACATCCAACTGAGTTAAAAGTTCCAAAAGTTCAGATTATGTTTTCTTGAATTTAATTAGCGGAAACGGCAGATTTTGTAACATTGAACAAATACCTGTTTCTTGTTGGTTCATGAAAATGAAAGAAAAGAAGGCGGATTAAAAAGCAAAAATCTCTAAGTACACACAAAAGTAACAAAAAATATAATAAATTTTTAATACTTTTTATTGTTACAAATTTAAACAGTAGATAGAATATTCATTTTTAAAACAAAAATTTTCTATGAACATACCTATATCGAAAAATGCTACGCAAGGGGTGCGTCTTTTAATAGGTTTTTTTTTTCAATATTTCCGGAATCATGTTAGAAAAAAAATTTCAAAATTTGGTACAGATGATAACTTTTATACACCTAAACAAGTACAAAAATAATTTGTTGTAATTTTTAATTAAACTAGATCGGATTAGGGTAAAAATTTTTCGAAACACTTTTGTCTTAAAATTAAGTATTCTATCAACTATTTAAATTTGTACCTAACAATAAAAATTAAACACTGTCTAATTACCACATGAAAAATTAATTCAGAAAAATTTAAAATTAACTCACTAAAATAACAAAAAAACTAAATGTTTAACGCTTGTAACATTATATAACAAAGTGCTCAGCATTTCGGGAAGGGTTTAAACCCCCTAATCCCTTTCCTTGGGTACGGCCCTGAATCTCGGAAACATGTAAATATGGAAATTGACAGATTTTTTTTCAAAAAAAACGTGAAAACAATTTGAATTCTACAGGGTGCGCCAGAACTTAGAGAAAAATGCCATATAAGGTAAGATTCCAGGAACATGGAAAAATGTTTAAAAAAAATTATCTATAAAGATTTCAAAGTTACGAGGGTTTAAAGTTTGCACTTTGACTCTATTTATTTCTGTTGGAAAAATAATTTTCCAAGTTTTTTTGCTATAGGCTATTAAAAGAGGAAACAAGTAAGCTGTATCCTAAATTGTAACTCTGTTCAATGTTATTTGTGGCTTTTATTGGCAAAATTTTTGTCCCTTTACTAAATAATTGTAAAAAAACATATACAACATCATCAGTATCATTCACCGCCTCCTTAATCAAATGTATCAATATCCCGCCTGGGCATTTCGTAAAAAATGCATTGGGGCAGTGATTCCGATTTTTTCTTAGTTACGGGGGTTACTAAGGAAAAACTGAATAATTTTTAATTATTAACGAAAAATAACGCAATTAATAAATGCTGGGAAGGAAGGATACAACAAAACTAGATACGCCAGGAAGAATTGATATTATGAGGTTGAACCCTTTAAGCTAAAAAACTGGATTTGTCAAAAATTTTCCCCAGATTAAAGCGCCAACGGGAATCACTTGAACTCAAAAAATGTCCAGGCGAGAAAAGGATTATTTCTATGGAGACGGCGATAGTATCATTAAATAGATTTAAAAAAATATCAAAAAATATATGTCAAAATTTTTTGACAGATAGAATTTTTTAAACATTATTTTTATGTTCCTGGTATCTTACCTTACTTGAAAATTTTCTCTGGGTCGCGAGTTCAGGAGCACCCTGTATTTTATGCTTAGCTCTAAGTCTTCTATCACCATTCAAAAGTTGGTTTGACAATTTTGATTCACCCTGTTTTGCAATAAGTAAGGGAACTTATCCGATCGTAACCAAACTAGGTATGATGGTAGTCCTTGATTTTGTTAGTAACCACCTAAAGTAGTAGGTTGTGCAGCCTCTTGGTTTTGGAGTTAGAGAATGCAAATTTAAGATTGTGAAAAATATTAGATTTTGATGGCATTATTTGCACGTGTTCCAAAAATCAAGAGAAGAACGGCTTTTTCACCGTTTGTAGATTTAACTAGTCCTTGTATTTCTTGTGCAACCTTATCAGTGCAGGACCCTATTATTTAATTTTATTTGATGTTTTATTTTAAAAAAAATTAACGCCTGAGTAAAGAAGTTATTAGTGTTATTACGTATGAAGAAAGGATGAAAAAAATGTATGTATTTGTAATTGTTTTTAAGGAAAATTAAAATTAAAAAAAAATACTTACAAAGTTATGCTTCCAAATCCAACTTTACTTTTTTAAAGAAATAATACAATTAAATACCATTATTTACTAGTAAGTATAAAGAACTAAAGAGTAAAATCATATTTATATTTGTTATATTAGCAGCTGTCGACGTTGATTCACTTGTTGTTTCATTATTATTCTCAGTAGATTCATCACCTAAAAGAGAAAAACACATTATAAAGTGATGATTTAAACATCACGTTTGTCAAATAAAGTAAAAAGCAAATACTTTGGACTTACTCGGTTTTTGAGTAGCAGGAGAAGAAGTAGCAGCAAAACTAGAAATAACAGTAGTAGTTGAAGGAGGAGTTGTAGAAATATTGAGCATAGTAGTGTTTAGTAAAGGAGAGAAGGGAGTATTGTGTATACTAGTGGGAGAAGGAGAAGTGAAAAAGGTTGTAGAATTAACAGAAGTAGGAGGGGGAGTAGAACGTACACATTCGTTAATTTTTGATGTAAAAAATTGTCCGTTAGGGCAAGTTTTTAACGTCAATTTCCATTCAACAGGCACAAAGAAAAACCAACTATTTACTTCGCATTCGTAGTAATTATTGCAGGAATTATTATTGCAATCATTCGTAGTAATTGTGACAGGATACTTGCCCGATCTATCACACACCAATGGTGCTAACAAGCAAATTTTAATAATTTTTTTCACTTTGGGAATATAATACTTACCTTGACAAGAACTGAGTGTGCACTTTTTTGTTGTTATGTTAAAACTTTCCTTATTAGAACATGTTTTTAAAACTGGAGCCCATTTAGACCCATTTGATTTGCACTCATAGTAGCCATTACAAAATTCTGCTGGGTAATATTTTGTTTCATTGCAGTGAAAATTTACTAAAACTAAGCATAAAAAAGGTGTGTTTTTATTTATAAAAAATGCTCACCTGTGCCATTAGTTTCTTCTGCTAAGGTCTGGTAATTTATTTTAATAAACAGCTAAAAATAGTATTAGAATAAAATGATTCTTAAAATAAAAGTCAGAAATTACTGTTAAAATAAACGCAGAAACTTTCATGATGTGTTTCACAGTACTTGTATATTAATAGAACGAGTAATAATTACTCAACAATTATTGTTCCTTAATTTTCTTGGTTATATGGGTGCAATACTGCAAGCAAATATTCGCACGTAATTCCATTTTAATGCTTTTATTACTTAAATTATGCATTTTAAGATTTTAATTGCACATGTCCCATTATGATGATTTATAGGTAAAAATAAATTTACAGTAATTAAGGTATTAACGGTATTATAGAAATAACACCGCTTGAGATCCATGGTGTGCTACCCGAGGGCCACTTAAGTGTTTATTTAATCAAGAAATCAAAAATAATACATAGTTAAATACCAAAAATATTATTTGTAAATTTCTGGTTGAGCTTGAATTCATCAGAGTTGTATTACTAATAGAAGTTGTATCTGTTGAAAAAGCATTTCAATTTTTTTGAAATTATAATTAGGTAAGTACCTACTTTGAGTATAAATTAGAGTAGAACTTTGAGCAGCAGTTTTATTAATTTTGGTCGAAAGAGCGCTTTCTTCACTACAAGAATTAGAAACGCAACTTTTTTCAATGGAATTAAAAACTTTTTCATCTGGACAAGTTTTTAATGTTGCTGTCCATTTAAAAGTCCAAAAGAAAAACCCATGTTTCTTGCATTCGTAGTAATAATTACTACAAGATTCAGTTGGATAAAATCCTGGTCCATCACATTTGGGACTTGCTAAAAATAAATTAAATTTAAGATCAATTTAGATGTCTTATGCTTACTTGTGATTTTATTTTTTTTTGCTAAAGTTTCATGGTTAAGTCTTAGTAACTGAAAAAAAAGGTAAATGATTTTGTGGTCCGCATTTTTATATTTTACCATTAAAAGGAAGAATACGTTCATTTGGCTTATTTTTTAACAATAAAAGGTATTCAAAGTTTTACGGTCTTACTTATTTGAATTAATAATGGTGTTTTAGTTCGCCTGTTGCTAGCAACATTATCTAAAACGAATGTATAATAGGTACTTGCATATCCAACATATTTTTGTTGTTTTAAAATTAAAAATTAAACACTAAAAAATATACTTTTTACAATTTTAAAAATGAGCTTCTTTTGCGCACTAGTGGACTTTCATTTTGCAACGATTTTTATATGTACAACAATTTTATTTAGAATTAAAATAAAAACTACAATTGGTTAAATTCGAAAAACAAATACCAGAAGTTACACGCATTGTCAGATATGTGAACATTCGAAACTCCCAAAGACGATAAAGCAGTAACAGTTTCATTAAATTTCATTCTTTTTTCAATCTGGGTGTTTTCCTGATCTTCTCCACCTACTAGCAACTTGCAGATCTTCTTTTTATTCTCTAAAGAATCATCTACGTATCCTTCAGCTACATTTGAGGATTTCCAGGCTTCATGTCTTTTTATAGCCGACATATCAGCTCCTGCGTTGACTAATAAAGACGCTGAAGTTCTTCTAAAGCAATGTCCTGTATACTCTTTTGCACTTGGAAGTCCCAAAAAATTTGCAATTTTACTTGGGAGACCACCGAAGGTATTGATGCCCACTGGTTGCACAGTACATCTTCCCTTTTTATAATTTATAAAAAATCTGGCATGAGGAGTATAAGATGGGCGCAGTATTGCATATTTGCGAACCATATCCACCAAGTTTAGGTCTTTGAAATTTCCTTTTGTTATTGTGAACTCACGAGGCACTTTTGTTTTAGTGGTCAGCAACATAATTTTCATAAATTCTCCTAAATCTTCTACATCATTTACTTTTAAATTGAGTAATTCTTGCCTCCGACAAGCTCCCGTAATCCTATTATTAAAACCATCTGAAAACAAAAAATAAATAGTAACCAAACTTATACAACAAAAAAACTCCTACTTTTTGCATTAAGTAATCTTCGTCATTTGCTGTTGTAAGAAACTTTTCAATATTTTCCGTACTGAATCTTTTGGATTTTTTGGCGCGATATCCTTCACTTTGTCGTTTCAAAAATGCGATCAAATTTGTGTATTTACTCAAATCAAGGTTTTTGTTGATTGAAATCATGGAATATACACTCCACAACGTTGACGGCTTCACAATTTTTGATTTTTCAAGGAAGTACGCCAACATCACTTTCTCATTAATGTAATTTACTTTTCGTTTAGACCTCCATTCTTCGAAACGGCTGTATGTTGTCTTGTATGCAACGCGGGGTTTCTGGGGGATTAAATTTGAGAACGTTGTCTTCTTCTCAATCACTCATTTTTTTCCAAAAACAGTGAAATAATCGCAAACTTTTAAAAATGCGACAATCTTCAGATCGTTTTCGTTGTTTATTATAAAAAAAATACAGTAACCAATCAAATATTTTCGGCCACCTATCTTTTAAATTCAATTTATCCAATATTCATTAGTAATATGTTGTTTTACTTGTTAGTTTTTGTTAAGTAAACTGAGCAATAACTAGACTGTTTGATATAACCCACGTTGCCATTAGCACCGGGGGTTATTACGTTGCCATTAGCACCGTGGGTTATTACCATCCATAACCCATTGCAGGATGAATAAAATTCATGAAAATGAATTTCAGGAATCTCTCTGGACTCAACGACTTGCAAACCAGAAGCTGCATGTTCATGATTACTTGTACTTGAGTTGGCCACCGAATTCTCATTTTCTAACCTCGCAAATCAGTGGAAAATTTGTTTATTCTTCTACACTGTCAAAATTGTGTAAGGAAGTTTTGACAACTGTTTGGCACTTCTCAATATGAAACGTCAGATTATTTTTAACAAATTTAATAGATAAAAATCCGGGAATATTGGATAAAACGTATGGCATACGTGGGTTATTAGATATTACCTACTCGAGGTAATAACCTACTCGGGCAAGCCCTCGTAGGTTACACATACCTCTCGTACAGCATTTATACCATAATTCAATACAGCACTTATACCATAAATAACTATTATTCGCGGTAAAAATTAATTAATATTTTACTTAAATTTTGGCAAAATTGTAAAAAGCCTTGTATACAACTCGTTGCATACTTCGCTTTTTTCGCACACGATGTGTTCTCGTGTGAGAAAATTCACGTCTAGTGCAAAAAAAAAAGCCAAAAAAAAACCACGAGAGTGATGGTACGAGTTCTTTAAATCATCCTATATAAGAAATCTAAATAATTAAATATTGTTTTCATTAAGTCATTAAGCTTTATTTATACCATCTATAAAATACATAAAATTGACATTTAGAACAAATATTTTGTGTTATATTTTCCGAACAGCCGTTCCAATTGTTGCTCGACTTTCCTCTGTATTGGTGGTTTCACAAGAATTTCATTTTTCATACTGGCTTCCAAAGCTTCTAACATGGGTCTAAAAGCATCATCAGGAGTTTCCCATTCGTTATTCAGTTCTCGTAAATAACTGGCACCCATATTTAATCCCAGTGTAAATAAAAATTGTTTTTCGGAACTCATTTGATCCGAATAAGCTACTCCAAATTTGAGACAAGTGACAAAATGTTCACAATTGAAATATTTGAGAGAATACTCCAATTGTCTCGGGCACCGTAAACAAGTTTCAATTAACTCTTCAATCTCGCTGTAACTTCGGGTAGTTTTATCAAGTTTTGGTTTATTGTTAATACGAAACCTGCTTTGGCCTATGTGAAAATTAATTATTGTACAAATTTTTAACAAAATTTTACTCACCTGTGGCTTTTTTAATTGATTGTATTTTGACTTCAGCAGGAACAAGATCATCGAATTTAAGCGAAAGTACCATAATTGCAGTGTCGACAGGTTCGAAAGAAATTATTTTTTTATCAGATGTGTACATTCCCCAATGGTGATAAATAATTTTGTCAATTTCGATCAAATCGCCTTTTTGTGGGTTTAAGTCTTCTAGATTTTCACTCCATTCTGTTACACGTCTCGACATTTTTGGAAATAATAATCCTAAAATTGTTATTTTTTTATTGACTTACAACAACACAATATACTGATTTACAGGAGCTGTAGCTTCCTCACAAATTTTATTTGATTTTGATATGATTTAGGTCTTCACAAGCATATTTATAAGTGTACGTTATCTATGCTATCAATAATTAGGTAATGTCCCTTCGATTTGGAATGTAGGTATTGTTTTACGGGTATTTAAGAAGCTGGGTAATTCCCAGAAAACTATTATTACGAAGATAAATTTAATTGTTACAATGGTAGATAGCAATGGTAGTTATCTCTGAGGCAAAATACATATAATCAATCGTTTTAATAATGATAATCTAATTAGAAATATGTGTCTCATTGTTGTAGATTCTTTGTTCGTCTTTGCAATCGACAGTTTTTGAAGTAGGTACTGTTACCTAGTTCATTTTAAAATTTAATTTCAATTTGAAATCAGAAAATTCCGCTTACGTCTGCCTGTAAAGGTTAAAGTATAATTATATCTTATCTTTTAAGATACATTTTAATCTAGGTTAGCTTTATGAATACATTTGTTTATTTAATTTTTATTTTGGATTGCCTTTTTATAATAAAAACCATGTTTTATTTGGAATGAGTGAAGTGAAGAGTGGAATATTGTTAATAAAAAATTGTTTTTAAAAATTCAATTTGAGAAATTAATTACTTGGATCTGAGAACATTATTTTCACGATATTATCATAAACATTATACTTAGTTCAGAAAATCAGTTTTTGCAAGATAACATAAAAAATATTAAAAAAATATAATTTTTATATTTCTACATATTATAGCACCTTATGTTTATGTATACTAATGTAAGATTACAATGTTATATGTAAGTACTATATGATATACCTAACATAGATACCGAAATATTATATATAGACTCTCAGCGCTTTATTCTACTTTCTCAAATTACAATACGAGTATTTTGTCTGATAAATGATTTTATAGGATTATTATATTTTAATACATACCTATCTGTTTTTTGTCCTAAGGATATATACTTAATTAATTTTTACGAGTATTATGTCTGATAAAGTGATAAATGATTTTATAGGATTATTATATTTTAATACATAAATATCTGTACCAATCTGTTTTTAGTCCTAAGGATATGTATTTAAATAATTTTTAGGTTTGTACTTTGTACAAAAATATCTTCTATTTGCTTAGCCACATTGTCCATAGAGTTGTTCTAAATTTCGTTTAATTTTTTCCTCAATTGTGGGTTTCTGATACACTTCATTCTGTACAGAAGCACCAAAAGCATTCATTAATGGACTCCAAGCATTTGAATTAGGATTTTTTTTACCATTCAACTTTGCTAGATAATTAGCACCAGTATTTAATACAAATGATAATAAAAACTGATTTTCTGGAGGCATTTGTTCAGAATCACTGATCCCAAATTTAAGAAATGTAACAAAATGTTCACAATTGAAATACTTTAACGAATATTCCAAAACCCTTGGATTTTCTAAGCTAATCTTAATCAGTTTTCTAAGATCTTCGATTTTTCTTGGATTTTTATAAATTTCGAGCTTGTTGTTGATGCAAAATTTTGACGAATCTGAAAGAAATTTATTACATCAATACAACATTAGAAAAAAATAAAATCGTACCAGTGACATCATTTAGAGGGTCGTATTTGATAATAGCCGGCACTAATTCGTCGAATTGGGAATTCACAACGTATTGCGTCGGAGATTCGACAGTTTCGAGATGAATTATTTTGCCATCAGATACGTACATTCCCCAGTGATGATAAAAAACTCTATCTATTTCAATAAGATCACCCTCTTCGAAACTTAAATCGTTTATATTTGTAGTCCACATTGTTGCCTTAGGTTCAGACATGGTTTTGTAAACACAATTTCAATCGATATAAAGTCGAGCAAAGTGCGCACAAACGGCGCTTTATTCAAAAAAAACTTTTTCAATTATAGTATATTGCATAACAAGCACGGAAATTGACAAATAACGCACAAATGAGAAGTCTTATGCCCGAGGCATAAGCCGAGTGCAGAAGCCCCACGAGTGCTCGGCAACGCCTCGTCACCTAGTAACGTCCTTGATTATTATAAAACGCATAATATTCTCGTTATACAAACTGTCCTTAAATGAATGTGGGATCGAAAGTTTGCCGCCTCTTTAGTATATGGAACCCTCAGAAAAAAATGGTTTTACTGGTTGCCTAGACAGATAAAAATTGATACTTTTCAGAAATTACATAAAAATAAAATAAAATTATGCATTGTCGATACGTTTCAAATAAACAAATTACGTATTTATTGTACAGGGTGCTGCATTTTGGATATCCGGATAGGGAATCTCCGAAACTAAGATGTATAGCCAAAAACGAGTGATACATTCTGGGGCTCATTTTTGGAGAAAATAATATTGGTTAAGACCGCATCCCGCTATCGTCTTTTGTTTTCGACTTACAGACAAAAGTTAACATTTTGGCGAAATCTAAAAAATTCATATCTTCGTTATTATAGAAGATACGGATTTGAAATAAAGACATTATACAGACACTTTTTACGAGGAATTTAATAATGTAGTTAACAATTTTTTTCAGTTATTGGTTTAGCCATAATAAGATAAACTTGTATTTTTTTCAATGAAAATCATAGGCGGCTGTGGCAATTTTGAAAAGCTTATTTTTTTCTGATCTAAAAAATATAAATTTGTAACAGAATATTTTTTTATAATTATACTTAAAAAGTGAAATACAGATTTTGTTTGATTATAGTTGGCCATGGAAAAACTATTTCACTCCAAATGTGTAAATAATAATCAATAAGAGTTTTGTGAACTGTAAAATAGATGAAAAAATAAATAATATTATAGAAATTTAAAAAATACGATACGGTAGAAGTATTTAACAAATATGCGAGCGCCTCAGAACAAGATTGTTACATATTTTTAATAAATCCAAAAATAGGAAAAACAAATGTGTCAACAGTTAACACAATTAGAAAAAACATTTTTTTTGATGGTCTAATGGAGGTTGGATAACGTTCCACATAGACGGAATTTGAGTATTTGAATAGCCATATTCTCATTTTTGTGTCATATAAAATATATTTTATTAAAGAATTAAAGCGGCTTTTTTACAACACTCTGTGTATTACTAGAAGTTACAATGGTAATGTTAGCTTGTTTAAAAACAAAGAAATGTTATTAGTCGCCAATAAGTTGATTTACAATTTATTTTGCATCTTTTTCATTACTTAGTACTTAGAAAACTCTTTCATTAGTGACACTGGTTGAATAATATAATTTAAATCCTTTTAGTTGAAGATGCAACATGCGAATAAAAATCAAAGATAATTTTTTGCTAAAAATGTATTATAATAATTTGTTACAAATATATATTTTTTAGATAAGAAAAAAACAAGCCATCTATGATTCCCATTTAAAAAAATAAAACTTTTTTTTATTATGGCTAAACAAACAACTGAAAAAAATTGTTAACTACATTATTAACTTCTACGTAAAAAAGTGCCTGTATAATGTTCTTATTTCAAATCTGCGTCTTCTATAATAACGAAGATATGAATTTTTTTAGATTTCGCTAAAATGTCAATTTTTGTCTATAGGTCGAAAACAAAAAGACGATAGCGGGATGCGGTTTTAACCAATATTATTTCCTCAAAAAAATAGCCCAGAATGTTTACTCGTTTTGGCTAAACATCTTAGTTTCAGAGATTCTCTATTCGGACATCCAAAATGCAGCACCCTGTACACTTGTTACAAAATAAAGTAACACTAAAAATTAAAGAAATGGTTCAAAATGTCCTCCATTTTGCTCTAAACATTTTCTCACTCTCATTTTCATATTTTCAAAAATATTTTGCAACATCTGTTCATTGATGTTACAACAACAGTTGGTAATCTCTTCTACTAACTCGTTCAAATCATTCATTTGTCGTTTATACACTTCATTTTTCAAGTAGTCGATCACAGAAAAGTGCGAACACGGAGGATATGTCGTGTTTGTACCTCTACTTATGATACGATCACCGAAAAAGTCATTTAGTCGTTTTCTAATTTCTAAACCTCAATCAACATTCTTGTTGTGAAATTTTAAATTCCAGTTTCAGGTACTTGATCTTTATTAGTATACAGTATGTTCCCGGATTGACTTTACAAAAGAAAAAAAATWWTTWWYYTTKRWTTTWMSSCMAAAAAAAAGTCAATTTTTCTCTTGATTTTGGATTTTGCTCGTTTCAGGTGAACAAAATGTTTCTCCTTTGCAGTTTTGGCGTAAAATAAAAGATATTTTTTTTTAATTTACTAATTAAATAATGATAGTTTTTGTTAAAAATGACTTTGTTTTTTATCTGAAAGCTGTTTCTTTCAGTTGCTGTTTATCAAAATTATGTTTTTCCCACACATTTTTTTATTTAACTTGCAAAAACTCATTTTTCAAACTGATATTATTGTCAAAAAATTAAAACCGCCAATGTGATGGGATTTAAAAAGCAGAGAAAAATTATTCTAAGTCCAAAATCAAGAGAAAAATGAACTTTTCTTTCTACTGAGCTAGAATCTGAATCTGTGAAATAAGAGAAACTCATCGATGGTAAAATTCTGTTTGTTTACATTATTTCCATTTTATGACTAAAGGGACAAGGCACCAGGTAGAGAAAGTCGGATGATTAACAGCTGCCACAAAATGCCGAGTATGCAACTAACAGTACACCAAATCTGAACAATTCATTCGGTACCCTAGAGCCTTAAATACTGGAGATTTGCACGGGTTGTATGAGCTGTCGCACCATCTTGTTGAAAGTAGCCAAGTTGGAGATCTTATCGTCTAACTGGTTAATGAATTCATCCAAAATTAATTCCCTGTATCTCTTAGCATTAATAGTTTGATGGAAAAATATAGGACCAACAAGTCTTCTGCGTGAAAGCGCAATCCACACACCAACTTTCATAGGATGTATGGGGGCTTCAACAAACAGATGAGGATTTTCAGCACACCAAAAGCGAACACAACACAACAATTCGATGTATGTGAGCTGCGAGGGACTTTTCTAAAATATTTTGTTCTGGATACTTGTCTAAAAATTCTTCTTTGCAAGCTTGAACACTGTAGTCCATTCTCCGTCTCTTTTAACACCGTTACGATAATAAGACATTATAACGAACTTGTTTTGCTCAGGTGTGAAGACCATTTTAGCAATTATATCTAAAATATTTGCGAGCTTATAAATGCATGTTTTGCAGATAAAGACAATACCTTTGTAACAACACCGAAAATTATCTAGCTACAGAGTGCGCCAGAACTCGCGCCCCAGAGAAAAATGTCATATCATGTGATAAACATGGAAATAATGTTAAAAAAATTTTATCTATAAAAATTTCGAAGTTATGAGGGTTTAAAGTTTGCACTTTGACTCTATTTATTTCTGTTGTAAAAATAATTTTTCAAGTTTTTTTTGCTATAGGCTATTAAAAGAGGAAACAAGGAAGCTGTATCCCAAATTGTAACTCTGTTCAATGTTATTTGTGGCTTTTATTGGCAAAATTTTTGTCCCTTTACTAAATAATTGTAAAAAAACATACACAAGATCATGAGTATCATTAAATAGATATAAAAAAATGTCAAATGTCAAAAAATAAATGTCAAATTTTTTTGACAGATAGAATTTTTTAAACTTTTTTTCATGTTCGTGGTATCTTGCCTTACTTGAAAATTTTCTCTGGGTTGCGAGTTCTGGCGCATCCTATATAAAAAAAAGCTTTTTTAAGACCTAGAACAGACTTAGAACGCGAGAAACAACAAAACAGGGCTTCGAAAGAACTTAAAATGATTTTGTGCTGACAGCTTGTGAAAGTTTGACAGTTTTGAAAGTTTGGGATTTATATAGTATTTGATGAATTTGGACGAGTCGGCAAATTCCAATTCCAGAGCCATCTGAGATCCTACACTCTGTATAATCGTTTTCTCTTCATCGTAGAAGATAACGGTAAATCCTGAACTGCAGTTGTATGTTTAATTTTTTTGTGTCATACAACATTGCAATTCGTCATTTTTAACCGATTGTCTATGCGTCAGTCGGCTATCACTTTTGCACACATCGGTGTTCATATCTCCATCAACGACAGCAAATTTGAAACGCCGATAGATACGGCCCGGGTACCTACTAGTAATAAAGTAATAAATTTTAGAATAGGGCTGCATCGCAGGGTGTAACCCACAAACATGATCGTTTTATTGCGTTAGTTCAAAGTAAAGATATGCATCTGCACCCCTCAAGAAGAGAATTGTTAGTTCATTTCAAAACTTCAATTTTTTTATTATTCATCAATTTAAAAATAAATTAAAAAATTGATAGGTTTAATATAAAGGCACTAAGATCAATACGTAATCCTAAAAAAAAAAACTTAATATTTATATTAATTTCACTGAGGACGGTTTGTGCTTAGGAACCATAATCACCTTCCGCTTCTTCAGTAATTTTTCTTCTGTTTACTAGATTGTTGTCATTATTTTTATTTAATTTTCGTTTTAAATTATTTGCTTTTATTTTTTGTTGTGCATTTACATATTTAGTAGTATAATATCCCGGACTTTTTTGATTTACAGCCTTTTTCCCCCGCATTTGGTACTTCAAATTTTAATTTATTTAGAAACAGCAAATAGGAAAATAAGCCTCTTGTCTACCTACATACCTTCAAGTAATAAACAGTATTTTGTTATGAAGACAATAATTACTACTTTTGTAAACTTCATCATATCAGTAGCTACCCCTAACGGATTAAAAACCCATAGCAGGTATCCAGTAGGAAAAAAGGGCTTCAAGTTATTCCTAACATTTCTGCATAATAATTAGACTTAATTTTTGGTGAAAAATAGAATTACCTAGTGTAAATACATCGTCTTATTAAATTTATTCATCTTTTACATCAATTCTTAAAATGACCTAATTTTACAGCTTGTACTTTTAGTTGTTTCCTTATAGATGCGAAACATCCCTCGTAAGGTCATAAATCAGATAAAACCGGTGATGGGGGTCTGCTTACGATAAGCTCAGTTTGTTGTGAAAAAGAACTAGGGTTGAGAGAGACAAGACGATTTTCACACTACGAAAGTTAATATTTTCCACAAGAGATTTTACAGTTATTAATTATCCGAATGATTTCATTTTTTTTTCTTAAGGTCTTTGGTACATGTAGGGAGGACATTGTTAGTTTCCATATAAATACTATAATTTTATTATAAAAAATAAGTAATAAAATATATAAAAAATAAGAATTTAAATTAGCTACATAACAATATCCCTAGAAATATCTAAAATGGTTTCATCAAAAAAATAAAAACCAAAAAATTCCTTATAATATCCGAGAAAAACCTTTTCGAAAAATGCATTGAAATTCCCTATCTTGACAAACGATAAGTTAAGCCTTAATGTGCATCGAAGAGTCGTTGAAAGGGATCATTTTAAGGTGGCAACCATGCGAAAATTCAAGCAATCCCAACCTTAATCTGCCCCAAAAATTATTTTCTCAAATAATTCTGAACCCTAGTTTTTGAGGTAACAAAAAATAATTAAAATTAACAACGTAATTAATATAAGGTGGAAAACTTAAAAAAGTTTCTCATTATTGATGGGATTAAATCTGTGTTGAATGACATTAATGATACTTTTTGTGTCCTTTAAATTAAAGACGCATTTAGACTTCTACAACCTACTTGATGCACATTAATATGAAAAAGAGTATACTTATTAATAGCCTGCTAAAAAATACAAATATTTTATAATAATCCTTTATTAGCACATAAATTAGATGCTCAAAAAATTACAAAATGCTTCTTAACTCATTTTACACTCTGCTTAGTGCTCGCAGACTCATCATCTGTTAAAGGAATCTGGACACATAGACTAACAGTCACATCAAAAATTTGTCCTTCAAGACAAGATTTTAGTGTTGGTTGAAACTGGAACCAAATGAATTCACATTCGTAGTATTGATTTGGAGTTGGTCCTGGAAATTTACCAGCACCGTTACATTTAGGTTCCACTAAAATAAACGTGTCAAACTAAAACTGAAAAAAAATGGTACCATTTACCAGGTGGTTCTACAGTAATAGCATCAGGACCACAGCTGTAATTTTCACTGCACTCGTTTAGGGCTGGATCAAAATTCTGTCCTTTGGGACAAGTGTTGGTAACAGGTGCCCAAATGAAGAAATTTAACACGCATTCGAGGTACTGATTACATACAGCAGTCGGGAATTTAGCAGGTCCGTTACAAGCAAACACTGTCGCTGGAATTTTACAGTTCGGTACTGTATGGTACATTATGGTACTTACTTGGTGATGGTGTGGTTGTAGGAAGGGTACCAACTTTGCAACTGTAAGAATTGAATTATTAAAGGTGATACTGTGGCGGTACTTACGCGAAAAATCCCTCGTTGTCGCAAATGGTACCAAGGGGACATTTTGTCGGAGTACCGTATACTAGAACCTTATCTGTGATATTGGCGCAAAACTGAAACGTATAAGGGTCAGGACATGTTATTCCAGAGGATTTGCACTCAATCTGGCATAAAACTCCATTTAAGAATAAGATGGAGAACTGAAATATAATTTTTCTGGGTTTAGTATATTTTACAAGGTTGATATTACCAAGCAGATTGCTACAATTTGCATTTTTGGGTAGAAAAATGTTCACAAATGTGTAAAATGTGATTTGACGCTTCTACGTATACCTTTTGTTTTACTTCTGAACAAATATTTATTTTGTTTTATTGTCTAAGATCAAGGAATTTTTCGCATCAATTATGTTATTAAAGAGTTTACTTTATAATAAGTATTATGCATTATTTCTGTGAATTACATTTCATTAAACTTTTTCAGCTTTGTTACTGAAATAAGAGTCATTTATGTAACGAGAGAATAAACAACTATTTTAATCCTGAATTTGTAGGTTTTTTCATTCGAGGGATAACGATGTTTATTTCAGAGATGCATACAAAACTTTCTTCCCAACAGACTAAATAAATAATAACATAAGAATAAATTTGTCATACTATATCAAATTTTTATTCATTTGCAAAAGTAAAGGTCAATATTAAAAGGAGTTTGATTATGTCAAAAAACATTCAAAAGATTCAATTTATTTAATTCTAGTTTATTTTAAGAATAAAAATTGGTATTTCATTTATTTTATTCTCGAAGAAATATTGTTCGAGATTATTAGTCAAAAACGAAGGAATAATAAAGCGTCACTTTATTCGCTGTTGGAAGGAAAATAGTTTTTTCCAAATAAGAATTTTTAAATTTATTTTTTTTGTAATAACTTTGGAACCATTTGACCAAATTTGGAATAGTTACTTGCGAGAACATACCCTTTAGACTAGTAATTACGAAAACCGGATACATTTACTCAATTTCCGGTTTTAGCAGTTGCAGGTCACATTTTCTGTGTTTTTCCGTTTTTTTTGGCCTCTTAACACTAATTTTTTATTGCTTAAATCTAAAGAGTAATCAATTTCTTAAAAAAAACGCATAACCTTTTATACCACTAAAATGGACCGTTTCAAATATATTTTAATTTAAACTGAGGACTGCACAACGCTGAAAATTAAAAATATGAATTTTGAATAAGTGGTATCCACGGCAACCAATGACCATGGTCACATAAATCCCTGTCGGCATCTGTTAGCTTTGACGATAAAGTTTTGTGATTTTTTAAAGAATTAAATGCTACGAGATCCATTTGGATTTATTCTAAGTTATGTTTGGAGTCTGAGCTAAACTCTTTTATTAAATATTTTCGATTAATCGTCTAATAATCGTCCAATCTCAAATTGACAGATGCCTGACAGCAAAATATGTGACCATGGTCATTTGTTGCCTTGGATATCACTTATCCAAAATTTATACTTTTTGCTTTCAGTGTTGCGTAGTTCTCACTTTAAAATAAAATATCTTTAAAACGGTCCATTTTAGAGGTATTAAAGGTATGCGTTTTTTATTTGGAATTGATTACTCTATTGTCTTGACCAAAAAAAATTAATGTTAAGAGGCCAAAAAAACGAAAAAACACAGAAAATATGACCTGCAGTTGCTGAAACCGGAAATTGAGTAAATGTATCCGATTTTCGTAATTACTAGTTTAAAAGGTATGTTCTCGCAAGTAACCATTCCAAATTTTATAATATTTGCTCAAATGGTTCCGAAGTTATTACAAAACAAACACAAATTTTCATACCCACATTCCGAGGGCTGTAAAATTCTTATCAGTAGGACATGAGTTATTATTTAAATTAACATCATTTTATAGCTCATTTTTGAGGTTCAAATATTGCTTCATATTTATGAATAACCTGTATGGATAACGATTATAAGATAAGTTGCTTACGTTAAAGCATTTTTTTGCTTTCAAAAGTTATTTAGATAAATGACACCTCTATCCGGATTGAGAAAAACTGAAAAAACTGTCACGCTTTTTGTAGACAATTTAAAACTGTGCGCTTTGTACAAATACAAAAATGACGACTTTCTAGCAAAAATTTTGAATTTTGTTTTTTATTTCGTTAAAATATTTAACACGTAAAACAGATATATCTGTTTTTGAAAATTATTCCGTGATTTATCTGGTTTTGAGTGTTAGCGTTACTGGATGCAATTTTTTTAGTGTGTCAAATAACTAAAAATGGTAAATACAATGAGTAAAAAGCAAAATAAATGTTTTATTGCAACTTAAAATCTTGATAAATTAAAATTATGCTAACCTGTTTTCATCCTCTTGAGGAGTGCAAAGAAATTTCTCTGCCGGTTCTTACATAGGCATCTCCTCTCAGTTCTATTCAAAATGTCCCTATAATATTCTAGTCTCAAACATTTTCTATTTCGATTCAAAATACGCTTGCAAAAGCTCATCAACATTTTTAATTTCTTTAGACTTAAAGTTATGATTGCCAATATCCGTTTCACTAAGATTAACGTTGAAAAGAGTAAAGAGTTATTTCTTTTTTCCAATTTCAAAAAAACTGAAGTAAATAAATGCTGAAATCACCTGATTCTCTAGAATGTCGCAGAATGGATTTGTCTAATTTTGCACAGTAAATTGAAAAAAACACAGGAAAATAGAACTGGTTTTGCGTGCCATTTGTCAAGGAATATAACTGCTTTTACTTATTATGTCAAATTTTGTTGTTGTTAAGCTTCAAACTACATCAGTTTTCAGCGGGATATTTTGAGAAGTGGGTATTTCCAGTTTTGCATCTAGAAGCCTTAAATAATTGTAATAATAAATTGAAAAGATGTTTTGTTTTGTTTTTTATGAACTGGGGAAGATAATTTGGTATTTTGTTAGTAAGAGACTGTTAATATATGCGTGTTGACTCTAGATCAAAAATAAATTAAATCTTAAAAATAATAAGTAGTCTTGTCAAATGTAAAGATTTTCTGAAGGGGTAAAATGGGCAACAGCACATCAAAAATTTCTTGATTTCTACATATAGTAAAAAATATTTCAAATTATTGAGTGCAAACACCATAAAGCGGTTCAAAAAGTACTGAAGCGTTGTCAATTTGTGTTACCTTTAAATATTCATATTCTCAAACCATGCGGCGTAAAAAATATAAGCACATCTGCAATTATTTTTCACGTTTGCTATGACCATATAAGGGGTTACACGACTATTTTGAATCATTGTGATTAAACATTTGTTTTGGCATTTTTCTTTGGGGCGCGAGTTCTGGCGCACCCTGTATATAAAAGAAATTAGATAATTTAATCACGGAGTAGAATGTATTGCTATTAGGATACTTTATTCAATAATAAATCCAAATACACATTTTTCCTTAATTGTAGAGTAGTAGGTTCCAAATGAACAATCCTTTAGCTGTAGTTCCCACTCAACTCCTGATTCTTTAAGTGTACATTCGTAGTATTGATTTTGAGTTTCTGCTGGGTATTTCTTATATCCCTCACATTTTCCTTTAAAATTTATTAAAAACTACAGTTTTGTATTAGAATAATACCTACTTGGTGAGCACTCAGCTTCTGCTTCAGGAGCGCATTGACATGTTTTTGTATCATAAATTTGACCATCTGGACACTTTTTAAGAACTGGCTGCCACCACCACAAGAATTTGGTACAATCGTAATATTCGCTACAATTAAAACCGAGTTGAGTACCTGGACCTTCACACGAGATACCACTAGCTACAATTAAAAAATTTGTAATGTCCAAATTTTTGTTAATCATTGTAAATACAATAAGGTAAAGAACATTTCAGTACTCCAGCGCAGACACAAGTTTTGGTAAAAGGGTCAAAAGCTTGCCCTTTTGGACAATTCCTTAACTTAGCCTCCCATCACCACCAATCTCTGAGACATTCGAAGTACTGGAAGCACTGAAGGGCTGGATATTTTCCAGGTTCTTTGCATCCTGGTTCTGTGACGGGTGGTGGTATGGCACAAGCACCAAGAGATGGATTAAAAATTTCACCGTATGGACAAGTTTTTAACACAAGTTCCCACCAGAACCAGTTTTGAACACACTCGTAGTACTGGTAGTGTAAGGAGGCACCAAGGGACCAGTCAGAAAGATCACCTTGTGGACAAGTTTCTAACACGAATTCCCATCTGAAAGAGCTTTGGATGCACTCGTAGTACTGGTAGCGTAACGGGGCTTCAAATTTTAAAGGATTTGTGCACTTTTTATCTAAAACATGTATTCAGAAACAAACTATTATAAGAATTAAATGGAATTTTTGGAATTACCTTTCAGATCTGCACTTTTTGGTACAATGTTGATAAGTGTGCATCTGTTTAAAGAAATAAGAAATCAACTCAATCAAGTATTGGAACTTACGTCATCGAACCGTTTATTAAATCGCAGATATGATTTTTGGGACATGTTATAAGGGAGTCAGTTAAAGGAACGTTGATATTGCTTTTGTTACATTGTTGGAAGTGTTCTGAATCAATACAAGTGATTTTATTTGATTCACATTCGAGATTCTGTTCCAAACTAAATTGTATTACAAGAGCTAATAGGAAATTCTAAAATTTAAACAAATTAGTGATAAAAATGTTTTTATCCAATATTTTTTACCAAGACAAGTTGTTTCATTGTTCCAATTCTCCTTAATTCATACAAATCTTACTAAGATAGTGCAAAGGTATGCAAAAATGACAGTGTTAATTATACTATTGTGTATATAAGTCTTATTTAAGATGAATCTTTTTATAATTCTTTATTCGCCGAAAAACATAAACATTTGACCATGTAATTTTATGATTAGAGATAAGCTAGCTATTTCACTATTTGTTTTTTGCTTTTAATTTTATATAAATTACTTAATTATTACGTTTTCCAAGAAAATTATACAAATAATGAAATAACATTCATTACACACTATTTTTTCAAGGTGCGGTTCCCAATAGTTATTTGTATTACAAGGCCAGAAACTCTCATTTAAATTGTCCCAAAAGTTCAGAAAAAATCAAATAGTTTGCACTAGACAAGTTACATGGATTTATGTTGATAACACAAAGTTCAAATTAAACTACAAATTATTAAATTAACTCTAAATTAAAAAAATATTACATAAGTCAAATGTCAAGTCATTTGCTGTGAAATCAAATAGCTTGACATTTAAGAAATATCAGCCACAGAATAGATGTTAACGGATAAGCAATTTCACCAACATTTAGTAAATTTTTTCATGACCAAGTTCATCAATAGGGCGATTTTGACTATATTTTGAGGGAGATAAAATAGAATAGAACTTGCAACAATTGCTTGCAACGTTTTTTAATTTTTTAAAAAACTTTTTTCTAATGAATTGTAAATTTTGTGAATACTTTCAGCAGTTTCAAAATTTTATGTATATTAATGTGTTTTTAAAAAATTGAATATATAGGTTATACAATTACTGTTTTATTGATTTAGCCAAAGACAAAAAACAAACTTTTTCAAAAAACATTGTTTAATCAAGCTGTTTCTGGTTAGAATTAATTGTAACTAAATTGTAATTATTAAAGTAAGTTATTGGCGAAATTCGGTAGAATAGAATAAACATTTACTATACTTAATAAAGAAAATTAAAAAAATCGAAAAACACATTTTTCTTTAAGATTAGAGTAGTATGTTCCCAATGAACAGTTCTTCAACTGTAGTTCCCACTCAACTCCTGATTCTTTGAGTGTACATTCGTAGTATTGATTTTGAGTTTCTGCTGGGTATTTCTTATATCCCTCACATTTTCCTTTAAAATTTATTAAAAACTACAGTTTTGTATTAGAATAATACCTACTTGGTGAGCACTCAGCTTCTGCTTCAGGAGCGCATTGACATGTTTTTGTATCATAAATTTGACCATCTGGACACTTTTTAAGAACTGGCTGCCACCACCACAAGAATTTGGTACAATCGTAATATTCGCTACAATTAAAACCGAGTTGAGTACCTGGACCTTCACACGAGATACCACTAGCTACAATTAAAAAATTTGTAATGTCTAAATTTTTGTTAATCATTGTAAATACAAGGTAAAGAACATTTCAGTACTCCAGCGCAGACACAAGTTTTGGTAAAAGGGTCAAAAGCTTGTCCTTTTGGACAATTCCTTAATTTAGTCTCCCACCACCACCATTTTCTGACACATTCGAAGTACTGGAAGCACTGAAGGGCTGGATATTTTCCAGGTTCTTTGCATTTTGGTTTTGTGACGGGTGGTGGTATAGCACAAGTACCAAGAGATAGGTCAAAAAGTTCACCTTGAGGGCAAGTTTTTAACACGAGTTCCCACCGGAACCAGTTTTGAACGCACTCGTAGTACTGGTAGCGTAAGGGAGCTTCAAATTTTGAAGGACTTGTGCATGTTTTATCTAAAATATTTATTCAGAAACATTTTATTGATAAAAGTTAACAGATTATTAAAAAAGTTAAAATTTTTGGAATTACCTTCCAGGTCTGCACTTATTGGTACCACGTTGATAAGTGTGCATCTGTTTAAAGGAATATAAAATCGACTTTATCAAGTATCGAAACTTACGTCACTGAACCGTTTACTACATCGCAGATATGATTTTTAGGACACGCTATAGGGGAGTTAATTAAAGTATTGTTGACATTGTTTCTGTTACATTGTTGAAAGTGTTCTGAGTCAATACAAGTAAATCCATTTGACTCACATTTGGTATCTTTTCCTAAACTAAATTGTATTACAAAAACTACTAGAAAATTCTAAGATATAAATATAAATTAGTAAAAAAAAAATATTCATAATATTTTTATTACCAACGCTAGTCGTTTCATTGTTCCAATTCACCTTAATTTAAACAAAGTTTATTAGGACGGTGCATACATTCTTATATACACAATTGTATAACTAACACTCCCATTATTTTTTAAGATGAATGCTTTTATGATTTCTTATTCGCCAAAAATAAACAATTGACGATGTAATTTTATGATTAGAGATAAGCCAGCTATTTCACTATTTGTTTTGTTCTTTTAAGAAAATTGTATAACTTTAAAATATATTTTGTCAAACATTCGATAACATAAGGTTGTTAAAATGTTTTGAAGAAGTTATGGATTTAAGTACGACTTACCAGCATTACGAGTTTTAAACTATAAAACTTGTGTTGTCTTCAAAATTTTAACAAATTTGGAAATTGTTTTTCGGATTTAATTTTCCAAAACGTTATTAGTTTCTTTTTTCTTCCTCGGGTGCATATTTTTGTTTAAAAGCTGTATACGGACATTTTATTTCTACAATCATTTCTTCCTTTTTAATGATACCGTCTGGCAATGCTCCCAAAAAAAACTTTCCTGTCAATAAATAATCCGCAGCGTTCAACAATAATATTTTCCCCCTTTTCAGCACTTAGTTTCCTTTCCAACGCGCGCAGAATTTTGATTAACGTTTGTCATGCTCGATGCTCCTTGTTACTTTTTACCTTTGTCCTTTGAAATGGTAGTCCTTGGTATGACCAAACGTTTAGACACATGTCTTTGGGACATACCTTCTTGTACCAGGGAGATAATTGTTATTTTATTAAACGCACTTACTGCTGGCAATTTCGAATTTCATTAAACTTGATAAAACGTATTTGAATGTCAGTTATCAAGACAATAAAGCACGTGAATTCACGGAAATTGGGTGAACGAAATTCACTGTCCATCACTGTACATTTTATTTTTGTAAGATTTGTCGTCTTACGTGAATCACCTGGTGGATAGGTAGAATTTATTTAACATGTTTCCGGTGATTTCTATAAAAATGTACATATTATAAAACTGTTCCGTGAATTTTTGGACAGTGTTTGTATATAAAAAAAATAGATTATTGAATAGACTTTATAATTGATCTTTTATTTCTTCACAAAAAAGTGTGATAAGCTTCTGGTAGTTACGATGTTGGATTTGCTGTTGTTGTTCTGGTTTGGCAAACAACAGAATCAGCTGATGTGCATTCGTTTAAATTCATATCGAAAGCTTGTCCTTCAGGACAATTTTTAAGTTGGGGTGTAAACCACCACAGCGTTTGAACACATTCGTAATATTGATAACAGCTAGCTGCAGGATGTTTGCTGGAACTAGAACATGTTGGTTCTGTTGGTCTAAAAACTGGTGTAGTTGTAGGAGCTGGTGCAGGTGTTGTTGTGGGAGCTGGTGCAGGTGTTGTTGTTCTTGTTTCACAGTTGACTGATTCTGCAGGGGCGCATTCATTTATGGAAGAATCAAAAGCTTGTTCTGCGGGACAGTTTTTGAGTTGAGGTGCGAACCACCATAAAATTGGAACACATTCGTAATATTGATAACAATCAGCTGCTGGATGTTTGCTTGAATTAAAACATGGTGGTTCTGTTGGTATAAAAGCTGGTGTTGTTGGTTCAGGTGTTGTTATTCTTGAATCACAGTCAACTGAGTTTAAAGGAGCACATTCGTTTGTAAATGAATCAAAAGCTTGATCTTGGGGACAATCTTTAAGTTGAGGAGCGTACCACCACATAATTGGGACACATTCGTAGTATTGGAAGCACAACTCTGCGGGATGTTTACTTGAATTAAAACATGGTGGAGCTGTAATTGGAGCAGATGTTGTAGAACCCTGTGTTGTGACACTTGTTGAAGATATTGTTGTAGTTGACGATTCAGTAGTTGAGAGAGTAGTAGTTGTTGACATCGTGATAGTTGGAACTGTAGTGGTTTTCGATGTAGAAGTTGACGGAGTTGTAGTAGTTGACAGGGTTGTAGTTGCTGTGGACGTCGTAGAAGTTGGAGATAAAATTGTTGTTGACGTTGAAATCAGTGGGCTAGTAGTTTTTGATGTTGAAGTCAATGGGCTAGTAGTTGTTGAAGTTGATGTTAGTGGGCTGGAAGTTGTCCACGTTGAGGTTGACGTTGAAGTCAGTGGGCTAGTAGTTGTCGCCGTTGAGGTCAGTGGACTGGAAGTTGTCGACGTTGAAGTCTG